ATTTTAATATATAGTTTTTTTTATATTTTCAAAAAATGTATTTTATTATCTCTTTTTTAACGATATTGAGTAATAAAAATTTCCTTAATATAAAATACGAATGAAACGAGACGAAATAAGGACGTTGAGGCATCTTATTTCACCGCCATCTAATTTTATCTAGCCCAAAATAAATTCTTTTTAACTTGAAAAATATATCTCTGTATATCAACTTTTGTTTTAATTTCTGAAAATCATCTCTCACACTTTCTATATTCTATTTTCTTGCAATCTCTCTGTACTCAAAGTTTTATTAAAAATTGAAAAACTAGATTTATATAGATTATTATCTTTTCAAAATTATTCTTCTTTTTGTCTTATATAACCAAAAAAAAAAAAAAAAATATTGCAACTAATATCATCACTCTGATAAAAATATATTTAACAGATTGATCATTTCCAAATTTCCAAAATATCTTTTTTTTTTAGGATTCATTCTTCTAGAGACCAACCATCTGGTTCGATTTAATTTCAGTGTCAAGAAAAGCTCGATTCCGTAGTCGAATATCCCGAGGATATTTCACTTCCTTGGTTACCGACAATAGGATTATCGTCGTAACTCAGTTAATTGAACTGTGCCGCTTAACAAGGGTAATAACCCGCAAAACGATTCGTAACGGGCGTGCAGTGGCGGATAAACATGAAATGCACACGAGGCGACACCGTGGCACGCGATGCCATTTTTATTTCAATCGTTCAACTGACTGGAACAAATTCTCTTAACGTGAATATTTCCAACAGTTTAACGCGCGATAAAAATATTTCTTGAACCATATTCACACGTACGGGATATTAATACGGGATGAGTCTCTAAATTATTCGTTTTATGAAAGAGAAAAGCATGAAAAATATCCGTGTTTTCCGTGTTTCTTTTTTTTTTTTTTTTTTTTATAATAAGTTTTACAGAATTCAAGTTAAATAATTTAAATAACATTTTTTGCTATAATAATATGGCTTCTAATAATATAGTTTCTTATAAGAAATAGTAATTGATTAATTTGTTAAAAAATAGATGATTCAAATTAAAAAAACAAATTTGATTTTTAAATATTCATTTGCAAAAAAAATATATTCGTTTCTACACTATAAATTTTTTTCATTATTTATGAATGATTCATTTCAAGTCGTCACGAGATTCTATAAATTCGTGGAACATTTTTGGAAAATAAATTTTAGAATTAATTTTAAAAGTTATAATATATAAAAATATCGATTGATACTTATTTATTAAGCAATTTAATTTTGCACTTGATCCACAGCAAAACGAATATACAAATTTTCATTTTAAAAATTAATGATAATTTCATGAAAATACGATATATTTATGGTAAAAAAAAATCTTTCAATTTTTAATGAAAAACGCATTATCTTAAAGTATGAAAGTATATAATGAAAGTATGTAATGAAAGTATGTAAAGTATCATACCACTATCAGTTAATTATTTCTAACGATATCAATGAAAATCTTTTACTTTTAACTATATTTACTATATTTAATATTTAATTTTATTAATATTTAAATTTTAAATTAATATTTAACTATATTTAACTTTTCAATATTTATTTCAATTTCAATTTTTACATAACCTAAGAGAAAAAAAATCACAAGAGATAAAATCAAACTCGAATGTGCAAGTCAACACAAGATTGAGATCGAATGATGGCGTAATTTTTAAAACCGAACAAAAAACTAAATGATATTGCGTGTACTTTCACATCTTAAAAAATATTTTTTAAAAAATTCTCTTACCGTGTATTTTTCATTAACCCTCGCGTATACGTACGTACATATGCTAATTAAAGCTTTAAATTTCTTCGTCCAATACGTTTACACGTACACGTTATATTTGTTAACAATTTCATCTTCCTTTCCACGAACTTAAACCCACGCTTCAAATCCCATACGAAATACCTTGGAACAGCCTTTATACACCACAGTCAAGAACAGAAAAGAGAAATTCTCCAGCTGTGCGAATGGTCACGTTGAATATTTCATTTGCACGGTGATAACCGGCCGGGTAACGTTGAACAAGGGAACCGAATAGAAACGAGGAAGGGAAAAAGAAAAAGGGAAAGGAAAAGAAAGGAAGAAAGAAAGAGAGAGAGAGAAAGAGAGAGAGAGAGAGAGAGAGAGAGAGAGGGAGAGAGAGAGAGAAAGAGAAAGAGAAAAATGAAAACAATAATAAAAAAAAAAGAAAAGAAGAGTAAAGAACCTCGGTCGGTAAGAAATTCCCGAACTCTGCGAGGAGACATCTTTTATTTAAACGAGCGTGTTCTGCGAGCACGCTGCACGGCTCTTTGCAAAATCGATCGGCGGGAAACGAGAGGGAGAAAGTGAAATAGAATGACAAAGCTCGTCGGTGGTGTACGGACGAGTAAGCTGATCGTTCGTTTGCCTTCGTTTTGTACGAAGTTTTATAGTCCGGTTGCGAGTTTGCCAGTTCTTTTCTCTCCTCCTTTTTAGTACCTTCTCTGTCTTTTTTCCACAATCTATTTGCGCCGATGCTCTTCTCTCGTTCAATCGGCATTCTCTCTTTTCCTCCTCGAGTTCCTCGTTCCCTTCCAATCAACTTTTCCCGTCCTCGTCCATCTATTTCTTCGCTTGGTGAGACCATCTCGCTTGCGAACCGCACACACGATCGCTAAATCTCTCTCTCTCTCTCTCTCTCTCTCTCTCTGCCTCCCTCTCTGGGTAAAAGACTGTAGCGATGGCCGCAACACGGAACTCGAGCAAGATTAAAGGCTGAGCAAATTTTAAATCAAAAACTTGAAAAACTCGGGAGAGATTTGAGTAACTTCGATGGTCAATATCGGGAAACAAGAGAATTCAACTCTTGAGATGGATCGAGATAATAGAGATTTCGTTAGAGTTCAATTTCTGACAATGATTGATACGAAATGATTCATCTAAATCGATATAATCTCGAATATCTCATTTATCGATTGAAATGTTTCAGACAAAAGTTAGCGCGATGATGTGTGATGTAAGTTTTTCTTAATTGGATATGTGAAAAACATATGAAGGTCAACTTCGTTTTCTTAGAACTATTATACATATTTTAATAGTCGATGCAATTTATTCTCTATGTAAAAGAATTTAATGATATTTTTATCGTATAATGAAATTTTTATATAAAATCCAAAATATTTTCCAAATGTCTTATGAAAAACTTACAATACATTATACATTCTCTTTCGAAATGTCGTCCAACATTTTTCATATCTCCAATATTCCACATTTGAATATTATTCGATTTAAACAGATTATATAAGATACACTTATACTGGAAATTGCAACATCGGTTAAAAAATTAAAATAAACGTGTTTCACTGAAAGCTTCTCGAAGCCATTGCTGACTGGACACGAACGAAAATAAACGAAAGTACTTACATCGTGCAGGTATAGTTGCTCGTATATATGTACGCGTTTCCATTGTACTCTCTCACAAATCTTCCACCATGAAATGCCCGTATGCACACGGAGGAGGAAGAAGGCTGTCCACGATCGTTTATCATAGCCATAGAAAGCATCGCATTTTCTCGATCCGGTTCAACAATCGACAAATTCCCCCCGAAATTCCCCGCGTTCCACGAGGTTTGATTTCGTTTCCACGTTGATCTCCCCACGTAGCGCATCCAACGGACACGCGGAAACACGTCGAAACGGAAAGGGGTTGGAGTCGAGTCACGCGACTAGATGGCTCTCTTTGTTCGCGAGATTGATAGCTTTACGAGCAGCGGGAGGTCGAGAAGCGACTTTTGACCAGGAGACCGCGCGAAGGCATGCAGGAAATAATGGTAGACCGCGATGGTGGCCGCGGACCACGCGAACAACCACCTCACAACGGATGATTAATGGCTTTATTATCGCTTTGCCTCGAGATCTTTATTTAATTGGGTCGTGGAACGTGTACAAATTGCATTTACTTTCGTGGTGAGCGTTGAATAGTTCATCAGAATCGTGTGTAATCTCTAGTGATAGTTGCTTGTTGAGAAATAGTTGAGAATCACTGCATTGCGAATAGTTAAGGAACCATCGTTGGATGAATGGTTATTCTTCCACTATGTGGCCAACAGTGGATATCAACCCCTCTGGCTTTTGTAATTCTTTTTAACTTACATAATAAATTTTCTATTTTTCTCTTTTTTTTTTTTTTTTCGTTTTTATCGAGAATGTTGAATTATCATAGATATATGTATACCAAAGTAGAATTATGAAAATTACAATTATATTTCTGAAAAAAATCAATATATTAAATTTGTAAGAGTTTTTAATAGATAATTTTTAATAGATAATTGCAAATAAAAAAAAATTGAAATCAATCAATTCGCCAGTTTCGTAGTTCTATAATATTAAGTAAAAAAAAAAAAAAAATGATTTTCATTTTTTACGAATTATTCTTTTTATTTTTATATTATATATATTTAATGCTATAATTAATATTGATTTCAACAATGTGTATATAAGGAATTTTTATAAGAATCATCGTCCATTAGAAATATTCAGGATAAAGAAAATAGAATTATTATAAATGTAAATTTTTATTTTTATCTGCATAAATATATATATGTATATAAATGATCAAGACACAATTTATTTCACATTTTTTTTTTTACACCTTTTAAATCAAACTCTGTAAAAAAAAAAATATGAATCATAATAATATTCCTAGAGGAATGAATCACGAGTCATAATGTAATCCTCGTCGATATATATATATATTTATAATTGAAATATTTTATTTATATAAATGTAAAAATAATATTAAAAAATATTACAAAATAATTCCAAATAGTGTATACGTTTCCAAAGATATCTCAAATTTTTATTCAATATCCTTCTATAAGTGTATATTTTCTTTCCGGAAAATTTATAAAATATAAATCATGTAAGATATTAAAAATGTATGTGAAGAGGCCGATCCAAGGTGAAACTAAAGTTACGTTTCGTGTTGTTACAGTCACCCGGAGTGATGCCATTCTACGGTGATTCTGGCGCCGGCTTCCGACCAGCAGCTGGCTTTGGGAATACTGTTTGGCACCAGGGAGTTGCTCCCGTGGGGGCAGTTGCGGTTGAAACGTCAGCAGCTCCATGGCCACCTCAGCAGTTCATTCAACAAATTCCGGCTCCGAATCAGCTCGAAGAGCTGAGGTATCATACCCAATATTCCGCCGCCGCGCCATACCATCCACAACCAGGTAATTGAAGAACGATTGGATTTCGACAAATTCACGAATCTCCTCGCTCGATATTCGTCCTTTCCCCCAATCATTCTTTCACTCTCACGTATTTCATTAAAAACGGAAGATATATATTTATTCGACTAATTGCCAACCTATTTTTTTTTTTTTTAATATATCGATCGATAGGATATTTATATTTCGCGATTATTATAAAATATATACGTCATAGGACGTAAGATATTCCCTACTCTCGATGCTAATTTTAAAATTTCAAAGAAAGATACCTCGATGAAAATAATATCTGTCTCAACCGCATGTGTGTGTGTGTGTGTGTGTGTGTGTGTGAAAAGAAGAGAAAGAAAAAAAAAGAAAGAAAAAGAAAAAAAACGGACGATTCAGAATTTCTCGCGAAAATGAAACGATCGTGGAATGCGAGATGCGCAACCGCCCTTTGTCCCGCGGATTAACCATCCATTTCTGCGGAATCAGCACGCAAATTTTCTGATTACAGTCGCATATCAACAACAGACTTTCATTACTACGGATCAGTCGGCATTTCAACGTGCCGGGGCGACGGGACAATACACAATCACGGGGCAACCCTCGCCCTTACCACCAGTCGCCCCGCAAACCGTACCATCGACAACTCAGAGGCCACTAAACGGTCAATTCATGGATCCTGCTGCTACTGCAACCCAATCAGTTGGTTATGAAAGGCAGGATTACGTCAATGGTTACCAACAACAGGTACAATTCGAAATGAATCGCTTTTAATTAAAAGTGTTTTCGTTCGCCTACCTTCCCTAATACGACCGACGGTATATTGAATTTCAGATAATACCAAAAGTCAAGGAAGATAGAAAAATGTATATACTATATGTTGAATAAATGAAATATTAATTATGTATTTTCATTAAATCACTTTTGTAAGATCACTCTTTATAATAAATTTCTTTTTATAAAGACACTTTATCTCATCACAGATCTATTCGACTTTTATTGCAACTTAAAAATCGATGTAGATTAAGTAATTGTAGCGCTTAGATGTAAGATAATTTTCTCGAAAAAAATATTTGCTATATTAAAATAAATGAGTGAAGATATATGTCAGTAATATAATAAATTTTTAATATTATAATTAATATTAATATTATTAATATTATTAAATTATTATTAATATTAATTAATATTATTTTAATATTATACATACCTATATATATCTATAAATTTTTAACACACAATTTTTATCAAAAAAATATAAGAAATATTTGTCAATGAAATACACTAAATAAATAGTAGATTGATTTATTTTTATGATTTAAAATATTTCAAAGCTTAAAATATTCCAATAATCAATAATAATTTACATCTTCCACGATTTTTAAGTTATAGATGGAATGATGCGTTTTTCCAGGACGTGACGATGGCACCGCCGCCTTCAACCACTCCCACGAGTCGTAGCAGTTCCGTACACATGGACAACCAGCAACAACAGCAGGCCTCCCAGCAACCACAGTCGCAACCGCAACAACCGCCGACAGATACGCAGGTGAAGGGATTCGCGACGATCACGGCCAGTAACGTGTCGGGAAACGAGATGCCTGGGTATCCACTTCAACCGGGCCCACAGAGTTTACACAACTCTAACGGATATCCAGGCTACGTGGAAATGGGTCAGCAACAAGTACAAAACCAGTGGCAGCCGCAACAAGTTGCCCAGCAACAACATCAGCAACAGCACTTGCAACGGCAGCATTCGGTACCTGACGGCCAACGTCATTTATGGTCCGACACCAGTACGAAGATGAACAGCAATATGAACTGGTCGGATGGAACGTTGCAACAGCATCAGCAACAACAGAAACCCCCTTCGCAGCAGCAGCAACAGCAGCAACAACAACAACAACAACAACAACCGAGTATGCAGGCTAACAGCATGAAGGGGCAAGAGTCACAGCAAAGTATGCAGATGCAGGGACAGCAAGAGCTACCTCGGCCAGCCAGTCATATGAGCTGGGAAAATGGTAGCGTGAAAGAAACCCCGCATACTCCACAATCGTGGACAGACAATACGGACAATAGTCAGCAGCAACAAACTCAGGGAAATTGGTCGCGACAGAGTCCAAAGCTGAGGGACGCGCAGAATCCAAGATTGACACCATCTAGTCAACAACAACAGCACCAGCACCAAGGCTGGCTACAGCATTCGCCCAAGTTGTCGGACCATCAGCAGAATCCGTCTCACCAAAACGCCCGGATGACGCCCTCCGGTCAACACAATTGGCAGCAAAGCAGCCCAGAGATGCAACAAAACTCGAGCCAACAGAATCCAAGGCTGACACCGTCTGGCCAGCAAATGTCGCAGCCCGCAGTGCAGTCCCAACAGCAGCAACAGCAGCAGCAGCAGCAACAACAGCAACAACAGTGGTCGCAACAGACGAAGCTCGAGAAGAATCCCAGACTTACTCCGTCTAATCAGATGTCCTGGCCAGACACGCCAACTAGTCAACCGAATTGGTCCCCGAATAGTATAAAGAGCGATAGTAGTCAGCAACCCCAACAACAATGGCCAGATTCACAGCCTAGTCCGAGGAGAACGCCTGGCCATCAACCGGGCTCGTGGCAACCTCAACCACCGACGCAAGAGAGCAAAATGGAGAATCAGATATCCTGGTCGCCGAACTCGGTGATCGAGAATCAACCTACTTGGGGCCAACAAACCACGAAACAGGATATGCAGAATTCCGGAGAAAGAGTGCTTTGGCAGCAACAAGCGACGGACACCGGGAAACCGAACGGGTTCTCGGATAATCAAGATGCTCAGGAGAGTAACGTATTTGCTCAATCGAATCGCGTGAATTTGAATAGCCGACTGAAATCCATGATCCTGAACAAGCAACAACAGCAGCAGCAACAGCAACAGCAACAGCAGCAACAGTTGCAGCATCAGCATCAACAGCTTCAACAGCAGCAGCAATCGCAACAGCAGTCTCAACATCAAATAGGCCATCAAGAACAACAGCAACACCACGGCATGCATCATCAAATGCAGTCTCAGCACGTGAACAGCAATAGTGGGTCTAACGGCGAGTATCACACGGAAGATCGGATACGAGACACGCATAGTGATAGTACGGACAAACTGCAAGAGAAACAGACGGATCAGTATTTGAATCAGTCGAACATGATCTCAATGGCGCAATCCAACGAATCTCTGACCGGTAATTTTTTATTGCATAGCCACCACCCTCGGGTCGATAGTTTGCCCGACGGTGGTGGCTTATGGGAATGGTCAGGGGGAGGTAACAACGCGTTGAGCAACGGTACCGTGTTACCGGACAACGGGATGACGGTTATAGAGAGTTTTATGAAATTTGGTTCAGAAGACAAAACCGTGCTGGAGAAACATCAGCAACACGAGCAGCAGCAGCAGCAGCATCAACAACAGCAACAACAACAACAATCATCACTCTATCATCAACAATCGCAACAGGAACACGAGCATCGACAATTATGGAAGGAAGAAAATAGGAGCCACGACAATCAGTGCACCGATGATAAATCATTTCAGAGAAGATTATGCATAGATCAGCAGATTCACGAAAGAACGTTCGAACCGTGTAGCAACAGCGCGAACATCGAGAAGAACGAGACGGAGAACGATGTTACTTTTCCAGAAACGCCTCGAGTCGCATTGATGAACGAGAACGATACCATTAATTATCCAGAGAGTAGCGAAAAAGTAGCGTCTACCGAGCTGGAGAACAATACCAATTGCGACTCCTCTCAGAGTATTAAGCAAGAGAACGTCGGGGAGTACGGGTGCTCCAGTTCTGACTGCGTCCCATCCTCAACAGCTACGTCGAGGAACGATGATTGCCCTTCGAAGACGATCAAAAGCGAGCCGGATCAAAAATCGCAGGAAGGCAATAATTACAAGTTTCGAGGGGATGGCGGGCCCGCCAAAGTGTCGCCGGGTGTTGGTTCATGGTGTTGTCGAAGAGGCGGTACCGAGCAACCGACCCCCGAACACTTGCGGGAGGGTTGTTGCCAGGGCTTGCAAACAAGGGACGAGATATTGGCCGACGCGGCAGACAAGTCCGACGTAAAGAACGAAGGTCCACAGAGCCCCCGTAACGGTGGTGCTCCATCGACAACAAAATTGCAAGATCATTTGGAGAAACTGAAGAACAATGTGAGGAGCGAAGTGCCGGACTGCAACTGCTTTCCAGCCGACAAATGTGAGTTGCTATTGTGTATTCAGCACGACACTAACATCGAGAGAACACACTAACCACGATTGTCACGGGTTCACACGAAAAGTAAAGAATAATTCTCTTAAAGAAAAATAAATTATACTACTACTACTATTATTACTATTACTACTACTACTACTACTACTACTACTATTACTACTACTACTACTACTACTACTACTACTACTACTAGTACCACTAATATTATCGGCCAACAAAAATACACCAAGCCTTGATTCAGTGACCCAAAGAAGAATGCACGTACCTAACTTACCCCCCTTTCCCAGGGGGCATACCTACTACATACGTGGCATAAATGTTTCCGCTTCTGTTGCTTCCTTTCCGTTGAAACGTCCAGTTTCGTAAGTAAAATGAGGTTCAACCACAAGGTCCGCCAGAGCCCGGTTCGTACTACACTCATCTCGGGGCGGCTGCAAGCCTGCCTGACCTACGGAACGATCTTGAAAGAAGAACCGGCCTTAAGGGAAACGCCATTAGATTCGAAAAGGTCATCTACACCGGAAAGGAGGGCAAAACTACTCAGGGATGTCCGATGGCTAAGTGGGTAAGCATGTTACAATATCTCTAATGATTCAAGAAAATATTCGAATATTTTTTTTATCTTTTGATTGAAAATGTTGATGAACAATTTCGTGTTTGCACAGAGATGAATTGTACATGGAACAACTTTCTTTCTTACCTAGATTTTAAAGAGATGAAATCAGAGTTTCAATGAATTTTTCGTTTTTTTAAATATAATTTTCCAATAGTCTAATAAAAATGAATTTAATTCTCTGTCAAGCTGTTGTAAAGAAAGATAAAATTGAAAAAATATTAATAACAAGTTTTCAATAACATCAGAATTTTCGAATTAGCTAAATTTCATTATAAAATTATGTTCGAATATTTTCATGAACCATTTATATGTATCTTATTCTTATTATTCTTTTCTTAGATTAAAATCAAAGCGAATCATTATATATATATATATATTTTTTTTAAATTCTATTTTATCCAAACGTTGCAGTCGATCGCTTTGAATCGTCCGTTAAGATATCTCTGTACTGCTTTGGTGATGGGATTGTAATATCAGTGATTCGCTAGATACTTCGACGATCTGGTCTGGAAGAGAAGATCCTGACCATAGTGAAACACCGGCAAGGACACAAATGTCCAACAGCCTGGATCGTCGTTGCCATGGTCGCTTGGGAAGGTGTGCCCACGCACGAGGCCGATCGGATATATTCCTTATTGAGTCACAAGCTGAATCGATTTGGTCTTCCCACGACCAGACGATGTGGAACGAACGAGCCGAGAACCTGCGCCTGCCAGGGTCTCGATCCCGAAACTTGCGGTGCAAGCTTTTCCTTTGGATGTTCCTGGTCCATGTATTATAATGGTTGCAAATACGCCAGAAGCAAAACCGTCCGAAAATTTCGATTGTCAGTAAGATCAGAGGTGAGATAATCTTCGTTTAATTAACTTTATTTTCTGTTATTTTGTTATTTTTCTTATTTCACCCCCTATATTCATTTTCTATTCCGTTAATCTTAAGTTGTTCCTTTTTCCACCTTTAGGAGCAAGAAGTAGAAGAAAGAATGCACGTCCTAGCAACACTTTTATCACCCTTGTACCTAAGCCTTGCACCAGAAGCGTTCAACAATCAAACACAATTCGAGCGGGAAGCGAGCGAATGTCGTTTAGGATTTAAGCCCGGCCGACCATTTTCCGGTGTTACAGCGTGTATAGATTTTTGTGCGCATTCTCATCGCGATCTTCACAACATGAACAACGGATGCACCGTGGTAAGTTATACTTATAAAGTCTTGACTATTACTTTCAATCAATAATAGAGAGATAAAGTACTATCTCTATGCGTCTCGTAGGTAGTCACCATGACAAAACATCGAACCTTGTCGAAACCTGAAGACGAACAATTACACGTACTTCCTCTTTATATCATGGATACTACGGATGAGTATGGGTCAAAGGAGGGACAGGATGAGAAGGTTCGCGCCGGAGCTGTAGAAGTTTTGACAAAGTAAAAGATTTTTTTTTTTTTATCCGTAGTAATTCCACTTTATGAGCTGCAATAATATATATATATACGTCATACGTTTCACAGATATCCCTGCGAAGTGAGAGTTCGATCGGTTCCATTGCAACCCTGTCGAAGGCACGGTAAGAAAAGGAAGGAAGACGAACCGGATACTATTAGCAGCAAGAAGGACAGTTCCAAAAATGTTAATGAAAAGATAACAGAGTCAGGACGCCAAATACCAGGACACCAAGAGTTAATCAGACCGCAAATGAGGGACACCCAACTGTCCTTGGAAATGGCGTCCATGTTCGAAGGAATGGACGCCCAATTACAAAGCTCCCAAGTGTCCTCCACCGTTTTAGATAGCCCAGTGTCCATGTATCCTCAAGGATGGGGTTATCAAAACGAACAGCAATGGAGTAGAAACGGTTGGCTCGATCAGCGAAAAAATAATTGGTTGAATCCGTGGAGAGAGTATTCGTTTGGTGGTCTCGACAGGGATGCAAAAGTTGATCCAGATAGCACGAGCTTGGACGACATCAGGCCTAGAAGTACCGTTTCTCAAGATGAGCATCGACCAGGATCGCGAAATTTGCCCAATTCCACAATGGACTCGCCAAGAAATTATTATTCACACTCACCAAGAGCTCATCCAATTTCACCAAGGAGCACTCATACGGGAACACCAGGAGATATCGGTTATTCGATGTCTCCTAGAGGATGTCCACCTACCCTTCAGGATCAGAAAAACGCCTCGCCAAGAAGTTCTGGGTATCCAGACACAGGTTACAGTCATCCGCTTCCCACTTCCAGAAGTTATCCGAATATGTACGACAGCAGACAGAGTAGCGCATCTCCAAAAACAAATTGTATAAATTTTCCAACTCATTTAGACCAAAGGAGCGCACTCAATCGAAGTAATCATCATCAATTGCACAATATAAATAATGTACGAAACGTTGGAGGAAGCTGCGATCAATCGAAATTATCATATTCCAAACCTGCACAGGATTCTAGTCAACAAAAGTACCCCACTACGCAGAACTACTTAGAGGTTCAGAAATCACAAATCGAGCAACCGTTCATGAACAGAATACAAGGCCATTATCATCCCTCTCACCATGTACAATCGAGTAGAAATCTTCCGTACCAGGGACACCATGAGACAAATATGGACATGTTTTCCGGCTTATCGGTATCCTCTTGCATGAGCAATACTAGTCATAAGGAATTCGGTACGACGAATTCGGATTTGTTACTACACACCTCGTCTCATCTTCCTTCGAGTAATCCACCAAACGGTACTCAAAATTTAAGTTCGATAGATCAAAGAAAATATCGTATGTATAAGAATCACGAACAGAAGACACCAGGGATAAATCAGATGTCACCAGCACCTTCCGATCAAGTGGGTGGTTGGAACATGCTTGGTTCCTGGTATCCTGATCAAAACAAACCCTACGATCAACAACAAGTCTACAACGATCAAATCAATTCCGAAAGGAATCACCAACAATCCATAGATCATCAAAAAACATTCAATTGGAACGACAGAGTACCACATCCGGATCAATCGAAACCACCTTGTTGGGAAACACCCTCTGATCCCTCTCCATTTAGAGTGCCAAAGGGTAGGCCACCATCAAGGACAGCCGCAGGCCAGAATCCAAACACGGACAGTACATATCAAAATTCTTCCAATAGAACGTTTCTCAAGCCTCAGGAGCCGATACGAAACGGTGTCTACGCGGACAGTCCGAGCAACAATGCAATACAAAATAACGGAACGATGCATCAGAATAACCAGATACGAAGGTCAGAGTGGACGGAGGACAAGACAAGAGAGAATTTCCACGATCCTAGGCAAAACATGGCGAATCCAAACTCGAATTGCTTCCCATGGGCCGAGGAGATGAAGCAGGTTCAAGACTTCCACGGAATGCCAGGCTTGGGACATCCTCACGCTTCCTTTCCCCAATATGGACTATATCCAACGTATCCTGTCTTCGACAAACCTTATTCCAACTCTTGGGAGGGCTACAATTACCATCAACCTTATCCCCATCCCCAAACATCAGAATATCCACCTCAATTGTATCAACAGCCAAAGAGAGAAACCTGCTTCCCTTCGCCCCAATATCCCTATCAAGGGGTGCCTCCGTATCAAAGTCTGAATCCTGGCTGGGCAAGGTGGGACACTCCTCGATGGGATATTTACGGACCACCATCTTATTTCCCGGTGTTACCAGAACCTCCGCCAAAGGCGGAACCACTCGGAGAAGTGGCCGATTATTCCGACAACGAAGAGTGCTTCAAGGATTCGCAGATGGGTGGAGTTGCCATCGCGTTGAGCCATGGTAGCGTGTTGTTCGAATGCGCGAAACACGAAATGCACGCCACCACAGCTCTCAAAAAGCCTAATCGTCTCAATCCAACCAGAATCAGTCTGGTCTTCTATCAACATCGTAATCTGAATCGGGCGAGACACGGTTGGGACGAATGGGAAGAGAAAATGCGACTTCGCAAGTTGGGCGTTACCACCACCAATACCGCTACCACCACGAATTCATCGACTAATTCGCAACCACTGTCCACCCCATCGACTCCAACCAGTCCAGCAAGCGCGACGATCAGCGAGAAATCCACTCCGCTCCCGTACATACCTAGTGTTCCTAGCTCTCAGTTCATGATGAGATCGCCCACTTATACGACAATGACTTGGACCACACTTTTTCCCATGCATCCATGCATGATAACTGGCCCATATCAGGAGGGAGGTGCCATTGGATGAGTGATCGTCAGTAGGTACGGTTCCAGCCATCGATGACCAAGAACCGTGCCAAGAATCGATCGAGCAATCTCGTCGGGCTGATCGAGTGAAACAATGGGATTCAGATGGCGCGCGCATCGCTTAGCCTAGCGACACCGTTTGCGTGACGTGTCGTGCAACGTCAACGTGAAGAAGCTGAATCGAATCACGGGAACAAGGAAAACATACAAGCAACAGGTAGTTAACATTTTATAAAGGGAACAAATAAGGAAAATGACAAACCGTTATTACGAGGAAATTTCTATCGTAATTATTATATCGTCATTGTCCTAAATATGTTATACTTGTTACTGAAAAAAAAAAAAAAAAAAAAACAAGAAGAAAAAGAATAAGAAGAAAACAACACGTTTGCACTGCCATTTTTCTATTTCACGTTTTTTCGGAGAATATAATAAACGTATTAGACGGGAGGGAAGGAGGAGCAAGAGAAAGAATAACATAATAAACGATGAAGGGTTCGCAACACAGACGTTTCATCACAGGATTCAATTCTAATCGGGGCTTCCCTTTTTATATCGATCTTTTATGCGAATCATGATAGAATCGTTGTGAGCGAACACAAAAAGAGCGTAAGATCGGCAGATATGGCGCTGTATAGTACCGATTGTTCAAAGTTAAAGATGAAAAAAGAGTTACGAGAAGCGACTAATTGAAAGAGATGTGTCATGCGTTTAGAGAAACACTGATCGCAATCGAGGTAATTGGATTAAGAATACAGCACACGTAAAACCGATAGCGATCGATCATGTTCGTTTAATAGCCGAGAAACAAAACAAACTTTGATACGTTATACGATTTAGGATGGAATGAATGGAGAGTAAAAGTATGAAAAAAAAAGACAAAAGGAGAAAAAACAAATATAAACAAATAATAAAAGATTAAGAAAGAATGAAATGAAACGTATTGTACATTTTTTTTTTTTTTTTTTTTTAACTAACTCGTATTTTAGTAGACAATTGTAATCATATTTAACTAGTCCATACCTAAGCATGATAAATGATTTTTTTTTAACACATGGCATATGCAAAATGGCAAACATGTATGATAACAATACGTGCGTGCCTATTACGATCCTTTTTTTTTTTTATACAAAACTAGATCACTTTCGCATCGAACAATCTATCTGTCGTTTATTTTTCTGCACGTTCTCCTTTTGTACCACACTTTTGTATCCCGTTGTTGTTGTTGTTGTTGTTGTATCATCATCGTCATATATATACACATGCTCATACATCACGGACACATACATCACGCTGGAACAAAATCGATTAATCGGCGCCATCGTAGGATTTTATTCAATCATCCAATCTATCCAAAACATCGAACGATGATATAGATATACATATAATTTCAAATCGATCCTTTGTAAAATCATTTGCACAATATCATGCTCCAAATAGGAAAGTGGAGCTCGCACTTAGACACATTACACATATACACCAGTATAATAACATATACAGACATGAAAAATGATCTCAAGTTTTTAAGCTAATTAATTAAACGGTAAATATCAATGTTTAATCCTTTTCTTTTATCTTCTCTCTCTCTCTCTCTCTCTCTCTCTCTCTCTCTCTCTCTCTCTCTCTCTCTCTCGCACTTATTTTTTCCTCTTTCTCTCATAATAGATACACTATTATCTATAGTTTTTTTTCGTTCTCTTCGCCTATCTGTACATTGTGCTTGTTAATCATCGTATTTATTTCGTAATTCACTTGCACGTGCTTGCATCCATAGCTTTATCCTTTAATCACGTATCACCACGTTAAAAAGATTCGAGTAACAACGATCCAACGGAGAGGCACACACACACACAAACACACACACACACACACACGATATGGATTGCTATATAATATTATTTAATATGAATTCTCGGATCGGTATCAGTACAAACATACACAAATATATACATCATATACATGAGAGCTCGTGAAATAATTTTTTTAATTAGAATATCGAACTGTCAACGGGAAGGAAACGCGTCAATCGTCGTGGTGCCGTCTTCTTCGGTTAGCTACGTTCTTCCAACTATTTCTCTTTTTTTTTTTATTATTATTATTATTATTAATATTCATTTTTCTAAGGCCTTTAGAGTCTATGATCGCAATTTTCAATCCATTATTAAATCATCTTGGATCCCAAGGATCCTAGATATACGAGCCTCTCGAGAGATGATTTTCTCGAGCGAGAAAAAGACACGCTCACAAAGATTCAAAAAGTTTCGCGGTAGTTCGCAGTAGCCGATAAGGTTCGATATTGTAATAAGTGCCAGTGTTCGAGGGCGAGTCAGAGAGCCAAAAAAAGATAAAAAAGAAGAAAAAAAAGGAAAAAAAAAAAGTAATCCGTATTAATTACACATGTCGTGCGAATTAATCCTACTTTTTCACACATAGATACATATATAACTACCTCGAAACGTTAATCGCCACTTCCCACTATTTTTCTTTCGATCGTGTTGTTTTTTATCTCTTTTATCGACCGTTCATAGTTCAATCGATAAATTGATATGAAAATCAGAGATAGAATCATAGAGTCGGGTTAATGGACGAGCGAAAGAAGGAGGCAGAGGTGTGAAAGAGAAAGTGTCTTTCTAATTGAAAGAATTAAAAGAAACAGCGAAGTCAAGTGGGATTATTTTAATCGATGATAAGAATGACGATGATCATGATCACGTGTTAATTCGTTTAATTGTTTCATGGAATAAACGGTTCCTTGCTTTTCGAAGTTTCGATGCACGAACATACTAGCCAGGGAGAAAAGGAGCACCGGAGAGACCGGAAGCACGGTCCTCGCGATTCATATGTACGCGTTGGAATTTAAGAATCGAAAAGTGGATCAAGGAAGGGGAGGAAATGGTGGTTGTTCGAGGTCGATGGATCGTAATGATAATCGACAGAAGGGTGATTACTATAGAAGGAGGTAAAAGGGAGGTAAAAAGACGCGTCCAACCCTCACCCATCGGAGTATTATAAGAATCATTAATATATTATCATTCATTATTATCATAATGTAGTAGTAATAATAATTATTAGCGGCAAACAGTAATAATTAGTAATATAATCTAATTTAATCGATTATTTATTAATTAAGTTTTAACAAAACGCGTTGTTCTATTGTATTTTTATTATCGTATCTTTTTTAGCTCTTCTCTTTTCTTTTATCACTTATCCTTCATTCGTTTTTCTTTTCTTTTTCTTTTTTTTTTTTTTTTTTTTTTTTTATATATATAATTTTTCTTTCGTAACACCGAACGATCGAATTAGTGTCGAGGATCAACTCTTTTCTTTCTTCGTTATATATTTTATCTTTAAATTTTTTTTCTTCGCTTGTATTTTCTCTATTTTTTTTTTTTTCTTATTTTGTAGAAAGAAAAAGATTGTTTAACACGAGCAAAAACAGCATCATCGATGATGAGCTTGCATGTCTTTTAAACGCTAGTCGTCCTTTATGTATTTTCTTCTTTTCTTAATCGATTCATTTTTCCCTTTTTATGTTCTGGTATTATCCTCTGTTTCACCGATGTATGACGAACTTTATTACGCTAAAAGTATAATCGTTCCTCCGTTTTTACGCATGACTCTGGAGTTTTACAAAACAAAGTATGAATTTTAAAGCAAAAATATCAAATAGAAAAATTAATGTTCAATCTCAAAAGAGACTATTTTTCGATTAGGTTCACCAAGATTGAGAATCGATCTCAACCAGTCAATTAAACATTTTATGAAGGAAAATAGCAAGATAAACAAAAGTTCTCACTGAAATTGCAAAAACATGTTTCTATTTTTTTAAACATTTTAAAAGATCATTCTATATATTCTATATATATAAAAAAAAAAAAAGATAAGATTTTTCGTCATCTATTTCTTTCTTCTTGCGAGCAAACGTTTCGATCGCAACACTCTTCTTGTTTCTTGCGAACAATTTAGCAACGATACATGTGAATTATCTTCAACGATAATTTCTTATTTTTCTTCATCTGCGTCGTTTGTCGTTGAAAATTGTTCACGTTCAATTTCGTTGTGGAAATGGTTCTTCAATGCTTTCGAACGCTCATACGACGATTAGAGTTTGATTAATTATATATATTTGAAAATATAAATATATATATATATATATATATATATATATTTATATATATTAAAAATTATGTAAAAAATATAAAAATACGATAAAATCGGAAGTAATGCGAACGAGAGAAAACGAACAATGAAATTGTGAATGTAATTGAACAAAAAAAAATCGTTTAATGAAATTAATCGAGATTAAGATTTTGTAAGATTTATACTTTCGATTGTAATCTACCGATTTTATATAGATCTCTTATAGACAATTATTCATATATTATTGTAAACGAATGAATTATAGATATTTTAAATTAAATGAATTTTAAACATCTAATAATTAAGGATGATAATGAAACCAGTGACTATATAATGATTTATATTATATTTAATTTTTATTATTAATTTTATTATTATATTGTAACGATGAAAAAATAATTTTTCTTTCGTTTGTAAATAACGGGAGCGATCGTTAGCCGGGGAAGAACCATCGTTCATAGCGCGCCTGTTCCTTTCACATTTGCGCACGTTTCTTTCCTCGATCGCGATCCATGGATTCACTTAGGACGTACGAGGCGCACAGGCAAGATTTTTCTCTCGTCGACTTCCGAATGATGCTCAGTTGCGTGCGTGAATAGGATACAAAGAATGTTTAGAAAATAAAAAGGCAAGAAAATTGAAAAGATAAAGAAAAAAAAAGAAGGACAGATTTCGTCGCAGGATTTTTTTTTTTTTTTTGAAGAGAAAATTGTTATCAAAGTAAAAATCATACGACGAACTATAATTGCAATCGATGAAATGAGATGGAAGTGGAAAAAGAAAATGAACTGGTTATTGTTGCTGTTCTTTTGTGTATAAGATGCGAGAAAGAAATTGTATCGTCACGATGCCAAAATAGTATTAATGCGGTAATAATTAAGGCGTAACAGAGAAAGAATCATTAATGTACTCAATGATTGTCGTATTGCAGCGAGAACGGAATAAAAATGAACGTGACGCACGCGAACGAGTTTATTGCCAATTTTTTTACTTTTCTTCTTTCGGAAGGAGAAGAGATTAAAGGGAAAAATGGAGTTTAGCGTCGATCACGTGGCATTCAATTCGATTACGTGGTGTACGAACGAGACGGAATGAGAGAAAAAAAAAAAGAAAAAGAAAGAAAGAAAGAGGTTGAAAACTGTATTTTTTCTTCCAATACCAAAAAGATGCCATTTTGTTTTGTACGAAAAAACCTATAAAAAAATTTACAAAAAAAAAAAAAGAAGAGGAAGCGGAGAAAATATGAGAGTATGTAGAGATTAAATATAAGAAGGGAGGGGGGAGTTGAAGCTAAACGAAGGAGAACAAATTTTTTAAATAGTTTATAGCAAGCGTAACATAATAGATGTAATAACAAATGCAAAACAAATTACAGAGAAGCAAACAGATAAATATTAATTGCAACAAATATACTTGATGTATATCTGTCTTGTGAAATGAATAATAATAATAATAATAATAACAATAATAATAATAATAATAATAATAATAATAATAATAATAATAATAATAATAATAATAATAAAACAAAAAATAAGAATAAAAATCTAATAAAACCACATGTCCGCCTTATGAAGCCAGAATACAATAGGTAATTGATTGATAAGAATTGATAAAATAAAATAAAAAATAAAATGAATTAAAGTAACGATAAATTAAACGATAAATAATACTTTGTAATGCGCAGTTAGACAGAGAATGAAAGGAAGGCGAATGAAAGGAAAAAAAATCAATAAAATGATAGAGTGTAATGAGCATATTATACTTAAAGTGCGAAAATCGTGAGATATACATTACGTATTTATATTTATCTTATATATACATGTATAAACAAATACATATGAGTTTTTGCATATAGATTGTTTAACATTATTAAAAAAAAGAAATAAATAAAATCGAAAGAATTCAATCGAAAAGCAAAAATAATAAAAAGAATCATCGCTCACAATTTTTGCACTTTAATATCAAAAGGATATTCTCTGGGTCCCCCGAAATAGGGCATAGCGCTACGTATACACCCATTACATATGTGTATATATATTTTTGGATAATGAACCCAGAAAAAAAAAAGAAAAAGAATTTTAAATCGAAATTCGGGTCTCGACACAGATCAGAAGATTATCTCAATGGATCTTTTCTCAAAACAATAATGGTTAATCAATAAATACAAAAAATTAAAAAATTAAAAATTATAATGAAAAAAATTACAGCAAAAATTACATAAAAAAAATAAAAATTAATTTTTTTTTTTTCTCTTATTGTTTCATCTAAAATCGAGTTGAACTTTACTCACGGTCGCTTATATCTAATTTATAATGAGAAACATTGTCTCTCTTTCTCTTTCTCTTTTTCTCAATTATAATTATAATGTTTCGAAAGCACATAAAATAAAAAAAATCAATTACTGCAAACAGACAAAACAAAAAATGATAATGAAAAAACAGGAAGAGAAGATGAGAGAGGCTCGAAATGATTCATTGAGAAAACCACATGCGTCGATTCTCAAAAAATGTATTTATGAATATTTATTTATGCGAGGTTAAATGAAATAAAAAAAAAAAGAAAATGATGAATGGAAGAAAAAAATATATTGATGATTTAATAAAAATAGATGGTCATAAGTTTAAGATGTAAGTTTTATAATATATATATATGTATATATATATATATATATATTATTATACTATATATATATATACTATATATATTATATATATATATATATATATAATATATATATATGTATATATATATATATATTTACTCTTGTAAAGCGTTTTACTGCCTTTCGCCAATTTTAATCGCGCCAAAAAAGCCGAACGTGCGAAAGGAATAGCGAAGCAATGATGAATGAAATGGAAAAAAATTTCATTCGCGATTTCAAAAATTATGTTTAAAAAAAAAAAGAAGAATAATAAAATCAATCAACAGCGAGCGAATAAAATGTGAACGTGAAAGTTCGCAAAAAAAAGAAACAAAAAAAATTAATTAACGTCGAAGAGTGATCTTCGTTTTATGTCATATATGTACGTATCGTGAATGATGTAACTTATTATTACTATTATTATTAATATTATTATTATTATTATTATATTATATTATATTATTTTTATTGTTCTTTTTTTTATTCCATGTTTTTTAGTTCTCGTTATTACGTTTAGAGGCGACAACAAAAAGAGAAGTGTGACAAATGATAAAATGCCAAGCATCGATCGGTGTGTGTTTCAATTTCGAATAATCGACTGAAATGCGGAAACAATAAAATCAACGTGGATTAATTAAGAAATAAAATAAAAAAAAGAAACGAAAACGCGGGTGTGCTTTGAGCGATGAGAAATCATGTACACATATACACAACACGCACACTTACAAATAAGAAAAAAAATACATAAAACACAGATACATACAAGTACACACGTACACATACCGTATGCTTAGAGTTTAGTAGCGATTTATAAACGATAAGTGATAGAATAATTTAAATTGATCATTGCTATCGATGACTATTATCGACATAAGAGTACATTTAGACGAAGAATATGTTATTAAATAAGATGTAATTGTCCTTTGTGAATATACATAAGAGAGAAATGAGAAATACAAGAAACTTTTATGATAAAAGAAGACTTGATCATTTTTCGTATCCGTGTACCAATCGTAAGCAAATAAAATGAGATGCAATGAAAAAAAATTATTTTAATGTTTTTCATGCGTAGATGAATTAAAAATACATACGTATATTTTTTAACAATTCTATTGATCATTCGTACATGTGATATAAAAATATTAAGGATATTTTTTGTCCTATATATACGTGTCAATGTACTTTTTTTTTTATATACATTTATTGATCATTGAATGAAAATAATGAAAAATATAATTTCAAATAATATATAATAATGATAGTTAGTTCGATCAAATTAATTTTGCAATGAAAAAAGACTAAATCATGATTAATAAAATATTAATTATGTTCATGAAACTTTTGATAGATATTTTTTTTTAATAATATTCATTTAATTGATTGAGATAAATATAATCAATTAACTTGCTTCGATATATTCACGGATTTCAAATAATTGCATTCATTTATATATAAAACACGTCATTTTTTTCATACAATCATTTCTCTTATTTATTATAATAAAATTGCTTTTTATATGATAAAGAATATGTATAAACGTTGAAAACATTCGCAACATTCGATAAACTAGAGCATTAATCATGCATATCATGATTCAATAAAAATGTTACATAATTAATATGAGTATTAAATAATTCGTATTCACAAAATAATCCTTCAAAAATGTTTTAATTTTTCCTTTTAAAATCATATATTATGTGTAATGTATAATAAAACGATTCTAATTGATTCCAATTAAATTTCTAAAGTTCTAAGTTCTAATTCTAAGATTTTCATTCACCATATTTAAGAAAACATTCAATTTTTTTGAACACACAACCGATTTTTGATTATTTCACTTGATATCGTTAAATGATGAATTCAATGAACCATTCCAATTATGAATCATCATTAATTTACTGATATATTCAATAATTAAGATTTATATAATTTTTTATATGTATTGATAATATTAAATATTTATGATTATAAAATAATCGATTTTAATTAGCATTATAATTTATTTCTGCTTACATTTACATTTAAACGCGCGCGTAACAAAATGGTTTATAATCATTATATTAAAATTATAAGATGTTAATACATATACTATTCATCAAATAGAATTTTAGAAGATCGATTGAGAAATTAATAATATATATAGAAATAAACATAGATATATAAAAATATCGGTTGAGACTTTTTTTATTAAATAATACGCAATTTAAGTTTATTACATTCGATATAGAGAAGCAAAAACAAAGTGAATGGAGATAGTATAACTAACAGAGATAAAATTATTTTATTCTATCTCTGTCTTAGCTTATAACACAAACTTAAATTACTTATAACTTCATTAATAACATTAGCTGATATTTTTGTATATACATATATTAATTTTTTATATTTGTTTTTACTTTTAGAATCGATCCTCGAAAAATGTTTCAAATATGTTAACACCTCATATATGTATATATATAAATAAAATTGACAAATGTTTTAATTTACAGACTTTCGGTTTTTGTTAAATTTATGCTATATAAAAGTGCTAAATATTCAGAAAAATATATATATATATAAAATTAAATCAAATTTAGCATGAAAAATTATACTATAATTTAATTACATATTTTAATGAAATATATAATAATGATAATCACATTTTCAGTTTCATTGAACATACGTATATATGTATAATTAATTTTTTACTATTTGAATATCAAATATTATAAAATGCATTATGTTTATATTATAACAAACTTCCGTTATTGATAATCGTCAAAAATATAATAAACATTATATGAAATTGATTTAATTAGTTTTATTGTACAATTATAATAAAATTTGTTATATTGATAATATTCGTAGTTTTCTTTACTATTTTTTTAATAAGATTAATTAATATATAAAATTATATAAACAAAGAAATAATGTTCATTATACATAAAAATGTTATTCCTGAAAAAATTCTACTTATTCGTTTTTTTCAGTTAATAATAAATTTGATTTTGAACTTTGAGAATATGTAATATTTGAGCTTTTCATTTTGGTTTTTAGTCCTAAAATAATATGTCTAATTCCAGGTATCCATGTATTACATAGATTAGCATGATACATCATTAATGCAATATGTATTTCATCAGCTTTTTCAATATTCCCTTCTCGTAAAGCTAAAAATATTTTTTATTATTTTTCTATTTTCAAATATAATTACAATATTATATAATAATACTTACTAATTTAATTAGTAATTTAATTTAATTAGTAATAATACTTACTAATTTATTTTACTAACCTGTAGATAAATCTAAAATATTCTTATATATCATATTGTTTAGTTTATCTTCAAGCCATGCAGTTTTTAATATATCTAATTTCTTTTTTACTTCTTCAGCACTATTTTTTTCAGATATATGTTCATTAATTACAGCTTCTAAATTTATCAAGACATTATTTAATGTCTCCTCTTTATTAATATTTATTTCATTCATTTTTCCTTTCAAATTATTTTTGTTTGAAGGACATAACAATGGAGGATGTGATGCTGTTGTTAAATTAATTGCAGATTGTATTGGTGGTGGCATATTTAATGGTTTGTTTAAAGAAGATTCTTTATCTTTAGCTTGTATAGATGTCATAGGAAATGCTACCCTTTTATTTAACATTCGTTTAGTAGGAGTTATAGAACTTTGTGCCATAGAATATGCCCATTTCGGAGGATCATTCCAACCAGGATCATGACCAGGTAATAAAACTTTTTGTAAAGAAAGATTTTGATCTACAAAATAAAATTATGTAAGAACATTCAAGTATTTTGTATTAATATAATATAAATTTATTTCTTCATAATACATATTATCAGATTGATAATAATATAAATATAAAAAATATAATATAAAAAATTTATAATAGAAAATTATATAAATATATTACTAACTATATTAGTAAATTATATAAATATATTATACTAAAATACATTACTTGTCATTTCTTCGCTCATTTTTGATTTTTTCAAATTTAAATTAAATGAATTAGCAAAAATAAATAAATAATAAAAAATTTCTTTAAAATTAATGTTAATATTGGATTTGACATTTATAATCGTATTTACTTATAGAATACAATCATAAACATATTAACATATGTTTATAATCACAATATTCCTATTATCATAACATATTTCAAGATCAACAACTTTGATTATATAAATTACTAGGAAATGATACTTTATTACTAGCAAATATAAATTAGATATATCATACTGATATATTATATTGTTTTTTTATATATTGAATTGATAAAACTTTATTTTATAAAATTAGAAATTATTAATTTCTTTTTATATTTTCTAATAGTTTTTGACAAATAGAATTCAAAAATATTAATTTTAAGTTCACTGGTTCAAAAATGATTTCGTATGTGAAATTAGTGTTTTTTAAGTTTTAAGTTTTTATTTGATCAGTTACTAGGATGCCATATTGGTTTATATCCACAGTTTGTTCAATAAAAAATCATTATCTATATATAGATGACAACGATTGAAGTTCATCTTTAAAATAACTGATAAAAGTAACTTATTTAATTTATAAAAACAATTTCATTATCTTCAAATAGCAACTGAATTGAAAATAGATTCTTCCCCCATAACGGTTCAAAAATAATTATAAATTTAATAAATTATTTTTATTCCAATATTAAATTGATTCAAATAAAAAATTGTAATTGTATCATATATATTTATAATCAAATTTGATTCATATTTACATTGTAAATAATCGTCAACCAGCAGTAACTACGTTGGATGAATTGTGGATAAAAATCAATTATTATATAATTAAATAATCTGTTAAATATTATATACAATAAATAGTTTTTGAAGTGGATTTTAAATTCAATAGTTTTGAATTCTATTCATTAAAAATTTTAAAAGATCTAAAAAAATTAATAAGTTTTAAAATAAAATTTAATCATTTTGATAATTTTTATATAAACTAAAATTCAATGATTCAAATATTATTTACATATTATTCAAATATTATTTATTATAAAGTTTGAAATTTATATAGGAATATTTATAAATTATATGACGCCATATTAGATTTTCATTCTATCTTTCATTTGAAAGATGGAAATATCATCCCGCATCAAATTCAAGTTATCTTTTATTTGAAGAATTTTATGTATACAATTATTATAATATATCATTATTTGTTATTTAAAATATATTATCATAAATATTTACATAAACTATATAAGAATATATTATATAAAAAATATATCATATCCTATTTCTTGCATCCAATCATTTAAATTTGAATTTTGAATTAGATTTAAATTAGAATTTAGAATTAAAAGAATTTAGAAGAATTAAATTAAAATTAGATTAAATTAGAATTTAATTGCTGATCTCTCTTTTTTCTTTCTCTTTCTTTCTCTCTACATCATATTACAATTGAATTGATTCAATTGAAAATAATTAAATAATATGATTTGAATGATTCTTTAAAATCAATCAAAAATCAATTTAATTCTGGCGTTTATTGGTACTTTTATTATTTAATTGGATAAATATTTGGCATAATCTTATGTAACTAAAATCTTTAGAAATATAAAAATTCATACATAAATAATTTTAATTTTTAACCGTTAAATTTCAATAATTAAAGTCATTCATTCAGATTTTGAACATAAAAATTTATAAAAATATATAAAAAAAATTTAATAAATTTAGTGCTTCAATCAGAAACTAGTTTTCCATATATTAATTTATTTATAGAACTCTTATATTTATAAATATGATAAAAACAAACAAATTGTTTTTGAATTAAAAATTTATAAATATAATTATTTTCACGAAAATAAGAAATCAATCAAAATACAATAAACTACTTACATATTTTTAGAAATATTCATTATATTTGCCAACAGAAATCTATCAACTTGCTATCTTTTTTATCATTTTTTATTATTTTCTTAGAATCTATATATATATTATATATCTATATAATTTTTGAAAAAATCAATTTTAAAAATAATTACAACTTTAGACGTATTTTGTGTTTTTATTATTCAGTTACTCTTGATATGAAATTATTTTGAATTTTCTCCCAAATATGTTTAATATAATGATTTAAAAAAAATTTTTTAAATATCGAAAACTTTTCACTGTATTTTTTAATTTATTTAAAAAACTGAAAATAATAGAAAAAAATCTAATCACACTATGAGATATAACAAATTTTTCTACTAAAAAAAGGATCAAGAAAAACTATATAATCATTTTTATTTTTAATATAAAAATGAAATAATATGGCAAAACGCACAATAGCAATAGTACTCAATGACGTTTCGCTATGATTCGATAATTCATATGATAACCAAAGCGATCACTATCATTAAATATTATTATTACATATATATATATTGTATATAATTATAAATAATCATTGAGTATTATTATAAATATTATAATTATATATATATAATTATAAATAAATAATTTTTCTTTAGACGTGACTATGTATTTAATCTATGTATTTTGTTTATTATTCTTTAAATTATTTTATTATTCTTTAATTTATTATTCTTTATTATTCTTTAATTTATTCTTTAAATTAAAATAAGAAAATATATAATTATAAGAAAATAAATAAATTGAATATTTTTAACATTGCAAAATTTAATTTTTTTGAAATTATAACTCCCAAAATATATATTATAATTAATATTATTTAAAAGTAATAAAATAAGAGATTATGAAATAAAATAAAATATGTATTTTAAACTTAATAATAATTAAATTATTTAATTTCATAAAAATATTGATATATTAAAAATAAAAAATATATCATAATTTTATTTTTACTTCAACAAATTAATCATATTTAAAATTATGTCACATCTAAAGATTATATAATAATAAAATTAATTTAGATTATATAATAATATAATTAGTATATATATTAATTATTATATATATTAATTATTATATATATATTAATTATGATTCAATAAATCAAAACCATATAAACCATTCAGTTATATCATGATATAAAACATAAAAGCGTCATAATATAATTAATTTCATTAAAATATACTATTAAAATATACTATTAAAATATAATGATATTAAAATAATTATAATAAAATATAATAAAGTAATTAAATAAGTCAATTATGTATTAATTGTATTAATACATAATATTTTAATACATAATATTTTTATAATATTTGTATAATTTGTATATTGTATTTGTAATAAAAAATATAATATAGAGAAGATAAATATTTATACGCAATTATAAATGTATATTTGTCACAAATTGCATGTAAAGTTTCTAATTAATTATTCAATATTAACTAACATGCAAGTAAAATTATTGATAAATTTAATGCATGAAATATAACATAATATGAAATTCCGTTTAAATTTAGTTATAATTATTATCGTGAAAAGGCATAGTCATGAAATTATTTCATCCTTCCAATATTTACGAAGAATCTTGGTTATTACTGAGTATAATAAAACTTTTAGGTAAAATATTAAATAAATAATAAAAATTATGATATAATAACATAGTAAATAAGTGAATAATTGAATAATAAAAATTTATATTTTTTATTATTAATTTAATTATAACATTCGATCACATTTTTATTATAATATTCGATTTTAAATCTTTTTCTTTTTACAGGTTTATATCCTATAAAATTTTCCAAAACTTCATGTATAAATTACATTTATATATCTATATTAATAATATCCTATGCGAGTCTTCGTTTTTATTTACAATTTTATTATATGGTTGATATAATGCAAAAACTTTTTCTTATAAATGACACATTTGTACTTAGAAAATTTCGATTTGTCCTAAACTTATTTTTGTTTTCTTTGATAATAATTTCAAGTATGCTTCAGAGTTTAAAAATAAGAAGAGCATTCAAATATATAAATAACATTGATAAAAATTTAAAATTCTTAAATATAGAGATTGATCATACATTATGTATGAAAAATGATATTGTTAGAATTATTAATGTGATATTTATAGTAATAACATGTAATTTAATAGATTATTATGGATTATTAGACAATAATGCAAATTTTTTATATGTCTTAATGTGGATATTTGATCGAATACCTGATTTTGTTAATGTTATTATAATATGTACTTTTGCCATTTTTATGAATAAAATTAAAATTAGATTTATAGAGATAAACACAATGCTAAATATTATTACAAAAGGAAAAACTTTCATTTCTATCTCCGAGACATCTAATATAAATAATAGTATGTTTTTAAATCTTGATAAATTTAAGTTTTTAATAAATCTTTATAAATAATTTTATTTTGAGACAAATTATTTATATTAATATTTAGCTTCCAGATACAACTTATTAAAGTGTGTACAATTCGAATTATGCAAAACGATATCACTTTTAAATGAATCATATAACTTTAGATTTAATGTTTTATCAATAATATATATTGCATATATTTGTTTAGATATGTGTATTATATATATACATATTAACAATCGACTTTACATGGTTGATGTAATACTTAGTTTTGTATGGAGTATCATTAATTTAATTAAAGTTATTTATTTAATTCATTCATATCGCAATTTAACTCTAAAGGTAATTTAAAAATATTATTTGTATATATATTTATTGCATGTGTATTTATTTGTGTATATATTTATGTAAATATTTATTGTATATTTTAATATTGCAGTATAGTTATGCAGAATCAAATAAGGATATTCCTTAAATTTACTTATCAAATATTCGAACTTATCATTTTATTTATAAGTATAATGATCTTGTAATTTTTTTAAATATTGTGCTTATATAAATACCAACCGATTAGCAATAAAATTACAAAAAACAATATTTTATGTAAAATAAATGTAAATAATTTATTAATTATAGATTGCTCATATTTTGTTCTCTTTTACTAATTTTATTATAATAATAAATATATGCTAAAATAAAATAAATTTATATTTCTATTTAAATTTACCTTTTATAATGCTCTAATTTTTTATTATGACGTGTCCCGTCAGCGTGCATTAAGCGCATGCGCAATGCCACCTTACGTGGCATCGGCAGCAATCACTATTGCAGCGAAATACATTTTCTTCATTTAGTGTAAACATTTGTGGAAATATTAACTTTTGTTATGGTTCAAATGCGTTTAATGACACAACGTAAGTAGTTTAAATTTCATAAGCATTTTGCAAATTACTCATCGAGTACCTCGTTTAGAAGTATTACTGTGTGCAAAATGGCTTATTTTATTTTACTATTCTAAACTAATATTTATTAGTAATTTATTATATAAAACAAAAATTTTTAAGTAATTAAAGCATAAAATTCACGTAAAATTAAGGATTAATATTGTGTACAATAATCATATCCTTAATATGTATAGGTTATCTTACGTCTGTCAATATGTAGCATATTTTGAACTTCTATTTCTAATTTACATAAATTTATAATTACGCTATCGAATATATGATTTATATTTGTGCGCAACTTCAGTTTATGAATTAAAATTATGTTTCTCAATAAATATACTTGTTATTTTTAATAAATATAATTTGTGGGTGTGTTTTTTTTAATGAAATTAAAAAATTTAGTATTAGAATTATTTAATTTAATTTTAAAACTATATATTTTTATTGAAAATATAAATATAAATTTATTTTGTACACATTTATTATTGAAAATTTAATTTAATTAAAATTACATAAAAAAAAATTAAAATAATGTATTGTTTTTTTTTTTAGGATAAAAATGAATCCACAATATATACAGCAACAGTCACAACAGCAACAACAATCACAACAACAACAACAACAACAACCTAGTTATTTTCCTGTTCCACCGACTTCATCTTCTTATGGAGAAGTAAATTCTAATATTCCATCAAATTTATTAAAAGGGCCTCCAATAAATTCTCAAGTATATACTTCTCAAAAATCAATCCAAGGATCTCCCCTTTCTAATTTACATCAGTCTCAAACACCATATTATATGAATAATATACAAACACAAGGTAATATAATATATTTTCATTTTTGTTTTAAAAAATATTCTCATATTTATAATAATATATTTTTTATTTAGGAAATACTCAATTTGAATTATCTGCAAACAATCCACATATAATGCCACCTACAACAAGTCAAAATAATATAATTAATCAAATGTCAAATATATCTTTGGGGGATCAACAAAGACCACCATCAGTGGTAATTGTGTATATTTATATATATTAAATATATTTATAATATATAGTTATAAATTATTTGATGCATTAATTCACATTGTATATTATAGCAAAATTTTCCACCACCACCTTTACCTGGAAAAAGTAGTCCTACAATACCTACACCTTCAAATGTAAATGGCTTTAATAATGCATTAGAAATATTATCAGGGAGTGGTAAGAATAAAAGAATTTCATTAAAACTATAATGTTAATTAATTGATTAGTTTTTAATTTTAAAGCTTGAAATATGTTGTATTTTGATTTCTTCTTTCTTATATATATAATTAACTTTAATTTTAAATTTATTTACAAAAATTTTTAGTACTATTTATATATAAATACATTAAGATGATATCTACTATAAGTAATATATATGAATAAATAAAAATCAAAAAATTATTTATTTAAAAAATCAGATTTTTTACAATTTTTTTATAATGCATATATATATATATATATATATATATAAAGTGTCTTATTAAATATTATCATCTTGAATTACATCATTATTATTCACAAGAAATGTTTTGATGGACAAAAAAATGTTAAATGGTTTCAAAAAGTGAACATACTGTTATTACTATGTTATTATTTTTATTAGTTTTTTTGAAGATGGATATATTAAGGATATATCAATTTTCATTTTTTTAAACATAATCATATATTTTTTTTATATACCAATCATATATACAGTTTTTAATTTTGTATTAACTCATATATGAAAAATTAGTTTAGAAAATAAATTTAAATAAATTAATTTAGAAAGAAGATATTTTGATATAAATGTTAAAAAAACTCACTAATGATTTTTATACCAATATTATTGCAATAAAAATATGATTTACAGCATTATGAAATATAAACATTTGAGAAGTTCTATTATTATCTTGATACAGACATTTAACTGATGAATAATTGTAAAAATGAAATACACTAAAGAAGAAATTAGATATGTTATCAATTTTTTTTGAAATTCAAAAAATGCGTCACATGTAGAATGATTGTATTGTTTTGATAAAAATCATCCATATCGTCGAACTTTAATGTTTTTAAATGATTTTCATTTCAATTGGAGGAATTATCACGAAAAATTTCTTCGATATAAGAATGACAAACAATCTAAATGAATAATGAAATTGCAGTTTTAGCTACAGTTATATTAAATCCATCTTTGAGTTGTAGTAAAATTGAAAGACAATCTAGAATTAATTAAATGAATATTATACATATATTTTATAAGCATAAATTTCACATATATTACTTTTTTAAAATTTAAAAATTATATATATATATATAGCTCATAATAATTTTTATTATTGTGTAAAATTTTCTGAATAAATTTTCTTTGAAGATGTTGATTTTTTAAAAAATATCATGTTCATGGATGAGATTACATTTACAAAGGATAGAAAGTTTTAACAATATTATATCAAATTTTTAATATCAATATTTTAATAATATTTATATCAAAATATTTCATAATAATTTTTTTTCAACATTATAGACAATTAAAAACTGCATTGATTAATGCATAAAAAATATATAGTTTTATTTAAAAAATGAAAATTGATCTTTATATGTTCTTAATATAAAAACCTATAAAAAATTAATAAGCTAGTATATACCTCTTAAAATTATTTAATAATCACCAAAATATTTTTCGCTGCGAATAATAATAATTTAACGTAATTCAAGATAGTTGATATTTAATATTTAATAAGATATAAAATATAAAAGATATATACATACAATATACATATAATTATGGAAAAATTGATATATAAAAATATATAAAATTGATTATAATATTTCTATTATTATAATTTTAGTCAATTTCGATCGCTCAAAAATTTTTTTATATTTTATTTTTACATTTTGATATGAAGATTGCTGTCATTATATACTATCACATACACTGTTATGGAAATATGTAGGCAGAATTTAATATATAGTACAAAAAGTTTTTTTATAAATAATCGACCATTGATTATATACGAAAAAAAAATTGTTTAAAATGAAATTTTTAAAAATTATTTAAAATTTTTTAAAATTATTAAAATTAGTAAAATGAAGACTAATGAATTTACTGGGGATTTAAAGATTTAATAATAATTAATAAGATCAATAAGATTGATAATCAATAAGAAATTAAATTTATTTTATTTTAATAGGTTCAACAGGACAAACTGATCCTGGTGGAAAATCTGGACCACCTATTTCTGGGACAAATGTACAAGAGCAGAAGACAACTTTGAAAACTTCTACACCACAGCTTACTGGTCTTCCATTTTCAGGACATTCTACAGGAACTACTTCTGGCAACTATTATCCTGGACCAACTTTACCAACTGAACAAGTGTTCAATGCAGGAATACCTTCAAATCAACATCAATCTGGTGGTCAATTGAATGTTACTGACACATCTGAACAATCAAATTTTCCTAGGCCACCAATAGGACAAAGATCTAAAGTTGCACTATTACAAGGACAACAAAATGTATCTTCTACTTCATCTTTACCTGGACAAAATTTTTCTAATCCAATAATATCGGGACAACCAAATTTATCAGGGCCTCCATTATCAAATCAACAAACACATAAAGATATGCTTATGCAAGGAACACATGGGCAAAATTTAATTGGACCATCACTATCAAAACAGAGTTTGTCAAATCCACTATTACAAACTCAACAAAATTTATCTGGACCTTCACTTTCTACACCATCATTACCAGGACAGCATTATTCTTCATTACAAGGACACCAAAAGCCTGGTCATTCTTTTCCAGAACCGCAAAATATGCCTATCTCTAATTTATCTGGTCCTCCATTAACAAATCAACAAAATATACATCCATCCCCAATGTCTGGTCAACAAAATGTTGCTCAATCTTCATTAATGAATCAACAAGGATTTAATAGACCACCAATGTTAGGACCACAAAATTTACCTGGTTCACAAATGCCTCCATTACCTGGTCAATCAGCAGGACAAATGATAAATTCTGGTGCAACTTTATCACAATCTGGTCAAAGATCATATACATCTGGACCACCAATACAAGGACAACATATAGCAAATCCTGCAGGAATCAGTCGTAGTCCAACCAGTGCAATGCCAAACTATCAACATACAGGATATCAAGGCTATAATAATGTATATTTGAAAAATAACAATTATAAATTTATCATAATCAATCATATTATAAATTTTTTTTTTTTATTTTATATAGGATATATATAATGCTCAAAGAAGTTCATATCAAGGTGGTACACCAAGTGTAACAGGTAGATATCAATCAGGCATGCAACCGCAACAAACTAGACGCTTAGATCCTGAACAAATGCCAAGTCCAGTAAGAAATAATTCAAAATTACAACTTATTATAATTTGATTTGGTTCTTTAGATTAATTTTAAATATATTTTCAAAGATTCAAGTAATTCAAGATGATCAACGCGCAAGAGGTGGTGTATTTATAACTAATCAAAAGGGTTTGGTTCCACCATTAGTAACCACTAAATTTGTAACGCAAGATCAAGGAAATGCATCTCCTAGATATATTAGATCTACTATGTATACTGTTCCTACCACAGCAGATATTATAAAACAAGTACATTGAATAATCAAATATATCAAATTATTTAGTTTAATTTTGTATATTCTTTAAAATAATTTGTATTTTTAGACGAATGTTCCATTTGGTCTAATAATAAGTCCAATGGCTCGTATAGCAGAAGGAGAATATGAACCACCTATTGTAGATATGGGTGAAATTGGTCCAGTGCGTTGTGTACGATGTAAAGCATATATGAGTCCATTTATGCAATTTATTGATGCAGGCAGAAGATTTCAATGCATGTTTTGTAAAGCAACAACTGAGGGTATGAATTTATTTTTTTAAGTTTTTTTGTTTTGTACAATTATTATTTTTTTTTTTTTTTTTGTTTTTAATGTAGTTCCAGCAGAATATTTTCAACATTTGGATCATACTGGTCAACGTATGGATCGTTACGAAAGACCAGAATTAATGTTAGGAACATATGAATATATTGCTACTAAGGATTATTGCAGAGTAAGATAAAAAAAAATTTAAAAAGTATTTAATTTTAATAATATTTATTTTGAAAATATTTATTTTAGAGCAATACTTTTCCAAAACCACCAGCTATTGTGTTCGTGATCGATGTATCATACAACACAGTTAAATCTGGTTTAGTTAATTTACTTTGTATGCAAATGAAATCAATTTTGCGACATTTACCTGTTGATGCTGGTCAATCAAAAACAAACATGAAAGTAGGATTTATAACATATAATAATACAGTGCACTTTTACAATATTAATTCTTGTCTCGCTCAACCACAAATGATGGTTGTGGGAGATGTACAAGATGTTTTTATGCCACTTCTTGATGGATTTTTATGCGATGTTGAAGAAAGTGAATCTGTTATTGACAGTTTAATGACACAAATACCAGCAATGTTTGCAGATACACGTGAAACAGAAACAATCCTTGCACCAGCCATACAGGCTGGATTAGAAGCATTAAAGGTATTTTTTTTAATAAATAACGTAATCTTATAATAATAAATATTATAATAAATAACATAAAATAAAAAAATCTTAATCTTATATGGACTAATTATAATTTTAATTGAATAATTAAGGCTTCAGATTGTGCTGGAAAATTAATGGTTTTCCATTCTTCTTTACCTATTGCTGATGCACCTGGTAAACTAAAAAATCGTGATGATCGGAAAATTCTTGGTACAGAAAAAGAAAAAACCGTATTAGGTAAATTTTTTATTTTTAAATTAATAGATATTTTTTAAGTAATAATAATAATAAATATTTTCAAGTTAATCTATCTTTTCAGCTCCGCAAAATAACATTTATAATAATCTAGGTCAGGAATGTGTGGGCATGGGATGTTCCGTAGATTTGTTTGTTTTCAATAATTCATATGTGGATATTGCGACAATAGGACAAATAGCTAGGTTGACTGGTGGAGAAGTTTATAAATATACTTATTTTCAGGTAATAAAGATAAAATTAATTATTATTATAGTGTAAATAAAATATATACATATATCATATTAGAATTTTTTTTTAATTCTTTAGGCTGATATAGATGGTGATCGTTTAATTTCGGATGTTATTAATAACATTAGTAGACCAATTGCATTTGATGCTATTATGCGCGTACGTACATCTACTGGTGTTCGAGCAACTGATTTTTTTGGTCACTTCTTTATGTCAAACACTACAGATATGGAATTGGCTAGTATAGATTGTAATAAGGTAAAAATTTTATTTGCATTATATAATTATAAAATAATTTGATTTTTTTATTTTATCATGTATTAAAGATATAATAAAAATTGTTAATTTAATATTTTAGGCTATTGCTATAGAAGTAAAGCATGATGATAAATTAACAGATGATGAAGGTGTATATATTCAAGCAGCTTTATTGTACACTTCATGCAGTGGAATTAGAAGATTGCGTATTATTAATCTTAGTTTAAAAACATCATCTCAAATGGCAGAATTATACCGTGCATGTGATTTAGACGCAATCATAAATTATTTCTCGAAACAAAGTAGAATAATTCATATTTATTTCATTAAAAATTTATCTCATCAAGTATTATTCAATTAAAATTTTTTTAGGTGTTTTTAAATTAATTGAATCAACTCCAAAAACTGTAAAAGATAATTTAATTGCAAGATGTGCAAATATATTAGCTGCATATCGAAAACATTGTGCTTCACCATCTAATGCTGGCCAATTAATATTACCAGAATGTATGAAATTGCTTCCACTTTACATTAATTCATTATTAAAAAGTGATGCATTATCTGGAGGTATATAATTTTATTTTTAATTATTTTCTAGTTTTTTATTCTACAATGTGGCCAACACTATAAATTCAATTTTTCAGGTGCTGATATGTCTATTGATGATAGAGCTTTTGTTATGCAAGCAGTTGCAACTATGCCAATTTCTATATCAGTTGTGTATATTTATCCGAGATTACTTCCTTTACATGATGTTGATTTACAAGATACAGAATTACCACAAATGTTACGTTGTTCTATTGATAAATTCACTGATGATGGCGCGTACTTACTTGGTATAATATTATTTCTTATTCCATTTTAAAAAATTTTAAATCATATTCATATTTGTTTTGTATTTTTTATTTTAGAAAATAGTATCCATATGTTTTTATGGTTAGGCCTGGCACTTTCTCCACAATGGGTACAAGCAGTATTTGGTGTTCCATCAATAGTTCAAATTGATACAGACTGTACTGCACTGCCAGTATTAGATACTCCATTAAATAAACGAATTTCTGATATCATTAATCGCGTACGTATGGAAAGGCATCGTTGTATGAGGGTAAGTAAATTGAAAAAATATGAAATGCATTAAAAATTTCATGAAATTTATGTTTTATTACATCTTTCAGTTAACTATAATAAGACAACGTGAAAAACTAGAAATTGTATTACGTCATTTCTTGATTGAAGATAGAGAAAACGATGGAAGTCCAAGTTATGTTGATTTCCTTTGCCATATGCACAAAGAAATAAGAACACTTCTTAGCCAATAAAATGAATCTTACAGCAATCAGTTACCTTATGTTGTAATCCTAGCTTGCTACATGTTTGTGACTGTTGTCATGTTATGTCCAAAATCAGTTAGATTATTAAAATGAAATTCACTTAAAGCTCAATGAGAATCATAGATTATGTGTACATTCATATGACTATGAAAAAATATGAAAAAAAATATGAAAACGAAAATAACATATATTTATAACATGGTACCTATAAAAAAATAAACTTTATGAAATAACTAATCATTCCGCGAGAAAGAATGGTACATGTAACAGGAAACATCAGAATGCACTCGTACAGTGATTTATACATTGTAAACGTAAACTTGTATTATTACATTTTATTTTAACTAGCTCATTAATGTTATTATTATGTTAAATTAAATAATAAAAATGTATTAAATCATTATAAATTTATATATTAAAACAATATCTTGTATTAATTGAATAATACCATAATGAAAACTATTTATAAGTTAATATTATTTTAGTATATTATATTTTATAATCTCAAAATTGTTTTATATTTTAGAATATGTGAAATGGTTATATAATATTTTTTATTATATTTTGATTTTTATTTTTAAACATATTATGAGTTATGATAAATAAATTTCACATTATCATTGCATTTAATTTCATTATTTAATCATTTAAATAAATTTAATATTCAAATATTTATAAAAAAAATAGAAATTTGAAAAGAAAATTTTTTTCATTACTTCATATACAATCTATTTTACATAATCTATTCAAATCATTGATGAAAATAAATTAATAACATTTTTTAGATTTTTACTTTAATATAAATTTTAATTCAATCATTATATATATAGGCTTATAACATATATGTAATTATATTTATGATATATATATATTTTTTAAATAGAAATGAATTAATGAAATATTACATAATACAATGTATATAATTATTAAAATATGCAATATATATAAATATTTGTAATATAATATAAATTTGTTTTATAATTATATTTGATTAATTTTTTTATTTCACATAACATAATTATTTAGTAAAATTTAAAGACAAAATTTAATTTAATTCAAATATATCTTATTCAAACATAATAGTATAATACATAATGCACTGATTTAATAATATTAATAATATATCATATTACATAGTTTTTCCATTAAAATATTATAAATTAATAATATTATAAGTTATAAATTAACAACATTTATAAGAAATATTATAAAATTTTTACATAATAAAAATGATACATCATTATAAAATATTAATATACATTACATATATTTTAAATACTTATAATATTTTTCAATAATTATAATAATTTTAATGTTAATTCTCTTCAAAAGTCTTTTCTTAGCAACGTTTTTTTATGAAATTACGAAAGTGTTTAACCTCACTTATTTAACATTATTCTTTGTATATTTTTATTTAGCTTATTAAAAATTATAGTTTTATTTAAAAATGTTTTATTTATGTTATTTTTATTAAATGTAAATATTTTAAATATGAATATCAATTTTAAATCTTTAATATTATTTTGAATATTTATTATAATTATATAATATGTATACGTAAATATGAAAAGACTGTATATTTAAATTAATTTTTTTCTAAAAAAATATTAATTACAATCTATCGATACATTCATAGTAATAATAAAATATAAGTTCATTTACTTACATATTTGCAAAAGCAATGTTGCCAAGTTGAATACTATGGCTTATATCTATCTACAGTAAACTATGTTGTGTGCAGAATAATATATCATATTATTCGCAAATGACAATTTGACGGTGTGCATGTGACGTCGATATTTTTTACTGTATCATACAATGTATATCTAACGATTTTACTGTAAAAAAAAGAAATGGATAAAATATATTTTTCAATGATAAAAGTATGTTATAATATACATGTACGTAATTTAAAATATAAGTAACTTTGAAAGATATCAAAGTAAATATGTGAAATGTGATTATAACTAGCCTTCTGTTAACTATTTTTTAGTTTTATTTATTCATTATTTAATGTCTTATCATTATCTAAAAAGTATTTAAAGTGTTAAATTTTTTATTTACTATCTATTATAAGTATTAAAACGATTCATATTAAAAATAATAAATCTCATATTAAATATTTGTATAAATTAAGTTAAAATATATATGAAATATATGTAATAATAGATAAATTATTTATTACATATATTTTAAAATGTTTAAAAGAAAATAATTTTAAAATAATTGTTTAAAATATATAACTTTAATAAAAAATTTTTTTATTCCAGTCAAAATGTCAGAGTTAATGGATAATTCTTTAGAAAAGATTGATATTATTCTTCCTAAGCAAAGCTTGCTATACCAGGAAGAAAATTTGGATTATATTCTTTGTAAACCTAAATTAATTCCATTAAAATCAGTTACATTAGAAAAATTAGAAAAGATGCAAAAAGATGTTGAATTAAAAATTCAAGAACCAATAGAATATAATAGTGTAAATGAAAATGAATAAGTTTTAGAAACTGAAGAATAAACATAATTTCAGTTATGATAAAATAAAATTAAAAATCACCAAAATGGTTCTTGGAGTATTCTTGACAGAAATTGTGGTAGCATTTTGTCTTGCTGCCACTTTATTATATAAATATGGGAATATTTTTCGACATCATATTATTGTTACAATCTCTGTACTCATAGCATGGTACTTTTCATTGTTAATAATATTTATCTTACCTTTAGATGTTTCATCTGTAAGTAGATGTTTATTAATTTCAGTAATATCAAAATAATATACACATTGTTAATTCAAATTAATTAATTCAAAATTTATATTATTTTTATATAGACTGTTTTCAGACAATGTGTTGAACAAAATATTCATAATAGCACAAAATTAATGTCTGATGGTACAACAGCAATTCCATTTCATACTTGTAAAGAACCTTGGCCTAATGTACCAGAACATATATTTCCAAATTTATGGAGAATTGTATATTGGACTTCACAATGTTTAACATGGTTGATATTACCTCTCATGCAGTCTTACATAAAAGCAGGAGATTTCACTGTTCAAGGAAAATTAAAATCTGCTTTGATAGATAATGCTATATATTATGGAAGTTATTTGTTTATATGTGGTATCCTTTTAATATATATAGCATTAAAGCCTGGTTTTGATCTTGATGGGTAACTATAATATATTAAAAAAATAAATATAAGATTATATTTTCATCATATATATACATATATACATCATATGTATACATATATATATATATATATATATATATGTGTGTGTGTGTATGTGTCTATTTTAGTCAAAAATTAAAAGCTATAGCATCATCTGCATCAAATACATGGGGTTTATTTTTATTGGTATTACTTCTTGGATATGCACTTGTGGAAGTTCCTCGTGGATTATGGAATGCTAGCAAACCTGGATACACTTTAAATTATAGCTACTTTAAAGTTGCTAAATTAAGTTTAGATAAATGTGAAGCGGAAGAAACAGTAGATGATATACTTGAGGTAGTTTAAATTTAATTAATTTTATTTAATATTTGATTTTTATAATTATTTTGTTTATTTTATTTTATTTTATTTTTTAGTCTTTACAAGCTGCTACAGTTTCTATTGGACCAGGACATCCTTTTCATTGTAATTTAGAAACAATTTTTCAAAAAATTCCAGCAGAATTAAAAGATAGAATGAATAGAAGACAATTACCAGATGATACACCAACAGATACACCATCAGAAAAAGCTTTAATTCGTCTACATAGACAAGTTCGTTTTTTATTAAATATATTATACATATACATTGAATATGTAAATATGTATATACATAATAAATAATTCATTTCTTCCTTTTAGACTATAAAAGCATTGCAAACTTTACAACGTATAGAAACTCAATGGGGAATTTTGGTTGATAAAATAATTGATTTGGAAGATATAGCAAGAAATCAACTAAATGATGATAGAAGATTTAAACCAACTTTCCCTACACATCGTTCATTTCCATTTTGTATTATTTATAATCCAATTATTGGTAAAATATAATTATATTATATATATAATTATAATTATAATTACATATATATATAATAATTATAATTATTAAGATATAATATTAATGATTACAAAATATATCATTATTTAAATTTTTATAAATATTTTAAAATATTTTATAAATATTTTAAAATTTTTAGAATGGTATTGGAAATGTATCATAAAGAGTTATGTACAAAAAATTGTAGCTATTTGTACTGGATGTCTTTCTATTGCTGTAGTATGGTCAGAAGTAACATTTTTCAATAAATCTCCAGTATTATCACTGTTTGCCCAATTTTTGAATCTAGCTAAGGAAAATTACGATTACTTTACCATTGAGGTAAAAATATATATATGAATTTGATATTATTAAACAAAATTATTGTTTTAAAAAAAATTAAAAATTAATGTAAAATTAAGTATACTTTCTTTAGGTATTATCAATGCTGATAATTGCTTATCTTTGTTATTGTGCTTATTCAACTGTTTTAAAAATTCGTGTATTAAATTTATATTATTTGGCTCCACATCATCAAACAAATGAATATAGTTTAATATTTAGTGGCATGATGTTGTGTCGTCTTACACCACCTATGTGTTTGAATTTCTTGGGTCTTATACATATGGATTCACATATTATTAAAACTCACATTTTGGAAACTCATTACACTCAGGTAAATGACAAATAATTGTTAAATTTTTGTAATAAGTTTAAATTATTTTACAATACATTTATTTAGGTAATGGGACATATGGATGTTATTTCTATTATATCTGATGGATTTAATGTATATTTTCCAATGGCTATTTTAGCATTTTGCTTAGCAACATATTTTAGTCTAGGAAGTAGATTGCTTTCTATGTTAGGTTTCCAACAATTTCTTGATGATGATGAATTTACAACAGATCTTGTTGAAGAAGGTCAAGAATTAATAAAACGAGGTAAAACTCTTTATTTTATTTTATTATTATTATTTTATTTTATTTTAACTAATACAATTAAATATTATTTAATTCATATAATATTTCATATTATTTTGCTTATATTACATTTTTAGAAAGACGCAAACGACAAAGAACGGAAGATTTAATATGTAGAAGACGCGAGCTTCAAGAACGATTTAGCGGTGCTGCCAATTCATCTCGCTACAGAACCTCAAGACAAAGTACTGATACAGGTATTTATATATTATTTGTTCAAAAAGAAAATATATGGAATGTTTATGAACTGCTATACATAATATACAGAATAATTGATAATTGATAATATAATTGAAAAAAAAATGCTTCTATATCAAAAAAATAAGTATAAAAAAATAGAGAATAAAATTTTTTCTGAAGCTTTGTTTTCGAGAAAATCAATTTTAATTATTCGCCAAATATACATACATTTAATCTAATTTAATGTATTTTGCTGTAACTTATTCTTTTAGTTCAGATTTGCTTGTTTATCGTTTGATGTTTATTGTACTATGAATTTTTTAATTATTTTTTTAATTGATATATTGTTTTAATTAATTATAAAATTGATTCTTTCTTTTAATTGATCAAACTTGTAATTTTTTCAGAATAAACAACTGATTTAATATAACTCCTTTAAGATTTAATAGTAGATTGGATAGTAAAATTTGGCTATTGCATTCTGTTTCATAGCACTTAATTTTTATTTATGAAATCATATCAAAACAGTTCGGAAAAAATTTCAAGTTTCAACTAATTAAAAAAAATAATTAATTTCTTATTTAATTAAAACAACAAAATAATTAAAAAACGTTTACAGAAATTTAGAATATGCCTATGACCAATATGCCTTTGACCAATAATTATCATGAGAAAATTACAATGAGATTAAGTTATGAAGTGCATATGTTTTCAGCGAATATTTAAAGTCAATTTTTCTTGAAAACAAAACCTCATACAAAAAAATTTTATTTTATATTTTCAATTTATTTTTTATATAGAATCCCTTTCCAATTGTACTATCAGTTATTATTTTGTATACTATAAAAATTTTAAATCAGTTTATTTAATTAAATTATAGTTCGTCCTTTAAAACGAGATGAATCAGTAGAATCTGCTAGAGCTGGATTATTACATGATTTTGATCCTACGGAATATTATATTGGCATGGCATCTGGAGTTGATAGTTATGGTGCAAATAATAGTTATGATAGAGGTTATCAAGCCGATGATTTTTATGAAGAACATACTGATACAGTAAGAGCATTTATTGCAAATACTAATTGTGTAGCTCCACAAAGAGGATTATTCGATGATATTTAAGTATATAAAACTTAATATATAATATTTAAGTTTTGCTCAGTAATAAATTATACAGCTAAATTATACAGTAATAAATTAGAACAGCTTATATTAAAAAATACTCTAATTCTATACTCTTGATACATAATAAAACTTTCTATGTATTAAATTTGAAATTGTGAATATAATTAAGTTCAACTTTTACTAAGTAACAATCATATAAAATTATGTTACAAACAGTAGTATAGTTAAAGCATGAATTAAATAACATAATTGAAAATTTGTTTTTCGTATTTTTATTACTTAGTGCTAAATATCAAACTGCTGTATATATATTAATTTTTCTTAAATTTTAGTAAATTTTAATTTATTTTATCTAAATTTACATAAACACTATTACAAATTAATAAAATATTAATAAAATATTATAAATAGTATAGTTCCATTAATCTAATGTTGAATTTCATAAAGCATTTGATATATTTTTAACAATACTACAAGTAGCATATTTAAATAACCATAAAATAATGTAAAAGATAAAAATAATATACTTAGATTTCAAGAAACAAATAAACTATAAACAAATAAGCAAATTTTGATCATTTCTTATTGATTTTTATAGTGATATTATAATTTTTGAGTTTGATAATATGATTTAAATTTAATATATTTATTATTGAAAATAAATTAATTAAAAAAGATCATATAAATATTCTTTTAGATTTTAATGACACAAAAAATATAATATAATTTAAGTAATTTTGATAAATCTTTTTTGTATCATTATTTTTTTTTTTTTTTGTATGAATTTTTTAAGTCATTTATATTTTTTATCAGATATTTTTATCAGAATATTTTTTTTTATTTCATTTTATGAATAAAAAAATATATTTAAATATATTTAAATATATCTGAATATCTATAATTTTTAGACATAAAAAATTCTTTCTTTAAAGAAAAATCTAAAGGAGTCAGATTATAATAAAATTGAATCTATGATCTGAATCCATTAATTCAATAACTTAAAAATTTTGAAAGAAATTTACTAATACTGATCTATAATTTCAAAAAATACAAATATATAATTAAAGTTTATGCTATTATTCCATTTGTAATAATTAGAATATTACAATTCATACATCAATAATAGAATACAATTCATGAACATCAGGAAGTTTAGTGTTATCATTGACATTACTTAAAATATTTTAAGTTTTATATATAATAATATATTATTATATGTAATAGTTAGTTTAAATTATTATTTAATTATTATTATTTTATTATATAATAATAATTATTATGTTATATTAATAATAATTATTATTATTATATTATTGTTTAATTATCATTTTAATATTATTTTATAATTTCATTTTATTTTAATTTTTATATTCAAAATCTACAAATCATAATTAGATTCAAATACAATCTTTTATATAAAATAAACTAAAAAAAGATATAGGCTTTTAAAAAATATCAATGATTTTGAAAAAATTTGAATAAAATAATAAAAAAAAAAATTTTCTTTCATGATGTGTTTGTTTTTAAAGTCATTTAAATTGTTATAAAAATTTTTTGCTTCATTAAAAATAAAGGAACAAAAAAATATTTAAATGGTCTTTTTTAATTGAGATATGATTCTATATTTTTTATAATTTCTGTTTATAAGTATATGCACAATAAAATATACATATTTAAAATATAATAAAATCAAATATAATAGAGAAATGATTTTAAATATTCATATTTGTTCTATACATGTGAATAATTCACTACTTATTAAGATTAAATAATTATATTACTACATAATTTATTATATTTAAAAAATATAAATTAAATGTATATTTAAAAAATTATAATATTAAAATATAATGTGTGAGCAAAATTATATTTTACAATTTTATTTATGTTGCATAATAAGGATTATTTTTTTAAGAAATTTTAATAAAATTTTGAGAAATATCACATATAACACATAATTTAATTTAGCATCATTCTACATGATGTCACATAAAATTCTGCTAAAATTTCATGTTGTCTAATTCTTATGGATTTAATTTATGTCATTCTATTGTATAAAATATATCATATAGTAGATTATCATATAGTATCATATAGATATCATATAGTAGATTATTGTATTTATCTCAATAAATGCTATTATTTATATTATAAATAAAATATATCGAATCTTATTTAAAAAAATTAACTTGACTTTAATCTCTCCTGTATCCATAAAAATTACTTTTTCAACTTTTATAAAAATATTTTTTTAATTATTTTAATTAATTTTTTTTATTAATCCCTTGGAAGATATTCTACTATTATTTCCATTAAACGGATCATATAGATTTAGTTCTATATATTTTTAACTATTACAGATTGAAATTAAATTTTAATTATTTTTGTAAATGATTTATAAATAAAATTTATATATAATTATGTTATGATTTATAATTAAATTTATAAATAAAAAATACTATTTTTTCAAATTAATTTAATTATTTATCATTCTAAATATATATATCGTATATTAAATATTATATTGTAATTCATAATATAATTTTATATTCCTATATAGTGCATAAAATATAGGGAAAAAATAACACTTTATATTATGCAAAATGATATATATATATCAATATTTTATTGCAAATATTTCGTACAGATGTGAAAATTATTAAGAAAATGTTATATATCTAAAATATACGTGCAATAAGTACCTGCTAATAAATATGTAATATAATAATCAGAAATAATAGATTTGAATAATCTTTAATTTAAGTGCTTACTCCTATGCATCCTATATTTCTTAAAATTTTTAAGGACATACATAGACATATTTTTGAAAATTGAAAATTTTTTTTATATTAAATATTTTTTTATATTTCATTATAGTTATGGTTTCAATAAAATCGCACATATATAATTTCCTAAAACAACATAAATCTTATATAATTATGTAAAGATCAATAAATTTTTAATTATAATAATAAACCTTAATAACTTATTATTAGAACAATCATGATAGATAATATAATAATTAACGAAAATAATAATACATTGTATTAAATTTATAATATAAAAATACTATGTATGCGGAAAATATATAAATAAAATATTATGTAAGATTGATACACTTAATAAAAAACTTTACACTTCAAAAAATTGAACTAATATTTAAATTGTTTCATAAAAATTCACAAGTTTTTTAAATAAATAAAATTAAATTTAAAATATATTTTCTGTATAAAAAATGAAAGAATAAATTTAATATAATTCTTAATTTCATAATTTTAATTAATATATCATATAATGAATATTCAATTGAACTTGATAGTTATTATGTGAAATAAATATATTTTTCACATATTTCATTATGTAAAATAAACTATATAAAATGTGATTGTTGCTAAAATAAAAAAAGAAAGAGTATAGGCAATTATTATCTTTACTATTTTTATGTGCTCTGATTGTGAAATACGATTTTTTCCGTGCCTATACCTAGAGTTTCCTAATTCTGGCATTAATAATAGAGGTTCTAAAAGTAATAAACTGGATCTATTTGCGCGATGATCGATTACATCATCTTGTTTGAGATTGTGCAATCGTAAAATATCATTACGGTAATTCATCCAGTTTTGCAAATCAGTATCATATCCAACATGTTTTATAGAACTTAAAATATTATTATGGTTCATATGAAACACTTTAGGTATAATGCCATTATTTGATATTCTCGTATAAAAATTACTTGCACAACGATGATATAACTCTGTATTTATTACTCCTCTGGTATTACTATTTATAATAAAAATATTTGGTTTTAATGTTGTTTTCAAATCAAATACATCTCGTGATGCGCCGTAAAAATAAAATATACTAGAGGCATTAGTTTTTAAATAATTATAAACTAATAAACAATGTTGAATATTATCGTATTGCAAAAATAATGTATTGTCACATTTAGTATCTTTTGAAGAATATCTAAAACATAAAGTTTCGTTCTGTTGAAGCAGATATACTTCTTTTGCATATAATGGCTTTTTTGCATATATCAAACGATCAGAATATACTGGACTGCCTTGTAAATTGGCACATTGTTTACAAATTTTATATCGAGGAAGAAAAAGTGTATTTATTAATGTTTTTGCTGTCGTAGGACTATATTTTTCATAATAACTTATAATATCACATTCAAGAGCATTGACTTCTTCATAAACGTGATCTATTTTTGATGAGTATTTTGTCATTGCATTATTTTCCCCTGTATTTGGTGTCATTAATATTGTACAAGTGTGATTATTTATATCATCTTTAAGTTTAGTTAAAGATTTACTTTCATATTTTAAAGGTTCATTTCCATATATGAATTGTTCTGATTTATGACATTTATTTTCCGTTACCATTGATAATTCGGTAGTATTTGGTATACTTTCAATTATTTCTAAATTGTTAATAACTGTAGGCGATATATAATCATGTTTAACATCTATTTGATTTTCGTTTTCTTTAAGTCCTTGAATTAAAAAAACATCATCACTTGTAGGTGTCATGTCAGCCTTTATAAATTTGCACGGTGGCATGTTAGTTTTATCTACGTGCGAAATATCAAATGCGTGTGTTTCCGTGCTCGGTGTTTCTATAGCTGTGTTAAATATATGCCATTTGTTATCGTGACATTTGTTTCTAATACTACGTTCTTTTTCTAATCGTAAATGTTCTAAGTGTAATTGGCGGTGGTGAACACACGCAAAATTATATCAATTCGTTCTTTCATTCTCCTCAGAACGCAATTCCCGTTTGATTTTATGTAAATCATAAAGAACCTAAAAATATAATATATCAATTATTAATAGAATTATATAATAAAATATATTTTACTATATATTATCATCATGTATACAAACTTCTAGGATAGAAGCAGCGCTCCAAGCTTGCGATCTACAACTATCTTTGCAATATTCCCCATTTTTGTTAGTAAGTTCTGGAAGACCTCTCCAATGATTTGTAGATGCTTCTATAAAATGTCGAGAAATAATAATTTCAGTTGATTCAATTGTACGGCATAATTCTTCTTTTCCACCAATTAATGGAGCAAAATACAATCGAGCTCGAAGAAAATAACCCATAGGCCAAATCCATTCCTAATAGATGTTATGAAATTATATTATTTTTATTTTAGAGTTTTTTATATTAATGTAATATTAAAAAGCACATACAGGTCCTTGATGATAATTCCAACCATGAGCTAATTTAGTATCTCCACTATCATTAGAATTATCATAATATCCATTATATGCCCAATCTGCAGGATCTAATGTTTTCATTCCAAGTGGTCCTAATAAAATTTCTTCTACTTTTTTTAATGCTATCCATGCATGTTCTGGATTAAATAACTCTGGAGCCTTTCAAAATATAATATAATATAAAAATAAAATATAATATATATATATATATATATTAGAAATAAATATCAAATGCGTGTGTTTCCGTATACATATATATATACACATACATAAATATATAAATATATAAGAAATTATATATATATATATATATATATGATTTAAAAATATTAATAAATATAAAAATTAAATACTTACAACAACCATTGCAACTGGAAAGTTAGGTCGTAGTTGATAATCAGCCCATGCTTGTGTTGCTCCATGACTATCTTTAAAAATTCCACGCCGATGAATAAGTTCTAAATTTAATTCTCCTTCTCTTGCTATTTCATTAATATAAAAATATTTTTCAAAATTTAATGAAATTTTATCCGCCCATTGTTTATAACTCCATGTTACAACAGAACCTACAATAAATATTAAATATATTTAAAAAAAAAAATGAAAATAAAATGAATAAATATAAAAAAATTTATTTCTTACCATCACGATTTTTTCTTTGCACACTACCATAAGGGAAAAGATTTTGTTTATATAATTCAGCTAAAAAACTAAGAATACTTTTACTAAGACCCACTATTTCTACAGCTGAACCATCCCTTGGAGTAGCTGGTTTTCCTTTGTTACCAGCTTTTTCAGAAGATCCCATTTTATCCATCCATGTACCACAATTTGCATCATTTCCACCAAATATAAATCCTGTTTCTGGATGTACTCCAATTTGATTATTAAAACCACGATCTGTCATATGTTCATCAATCTGTTTTCCAGCATTTCTTTCTCTAAAACAAAGTCCTTGAAAATGTACTAGAAGAGCTTCTTGAATAACATCATGTAATGATTGATCCTGAAAATTTGTTATGATAAATTTATAATATATAATATTAATACATATAATTTATTTATAATGAATATTTTGTACATACTACTTGTCCCGCGGATAATGGAGGAGAATCATCAGTTGGAAACAGTCTTGAAACTTTATCTGTTAAAATTTTTAAACCATTTGGCACTTCTTGTATGTAACATTGAATTGTATACAACCACCACCATAAGGCATCTCGACAGTTATATCTAAAAAAAAATATAAAAAAATTATTTGAAAAATGCAAAAATAATTATGAATTAAAATACATAAAAATCTATTCTTCACCTAGCATTCTTTCCTTTATCAAGTAAATTTGGTATAAGACCATGTCGTAAAGTTCCAGCATAACCAAGAATAATAAATCGTGCTTCTGTATGTCTGCCAGTCAATATTAATAGTCCTCTTAAAGCAATGAATGTATCTCTTCCCCAATTTCTCATATATCCTGTTGTGAAATGCGGTAAACCAGCAGATAATGTCATACATATTTGTTCACTTTCGTCATTATATTGTTTAATCTTTGGTTTAGGAGAATCTATATTTGGTGACAAATCTGGTAATGGAGCTGATTTTATTACTCCTCCCATTTGTATTGAAACCAAAGATAAGATCTTGACAAAAGTAGAACCATCTTTCACAAAGCTAATAATTATAAATGAATTAGTTCATTTATAATTAATAATGAATAATAATTATAAATGAATAAAACATATAAAAAACAAATGAATATTTAATATAAAGTACCTTGACATTAGATTATAGCATTGTTCGAGAAGTATCATATAAACGTTTACAACTATAACATCAAAATAACTAGGAACTAAATAACGAGGTATTAATTTAAATGGTTCAGTAGCTTCTTCAAGCCATTCTCCAAGTGCTTTTGTTCCATCATCTTCTTTTAACCGTTGCCAAGTATAATCTATATATTTGTGTAAAATTATGTTTTATTAATCATATGTTATTTGAAAATAAAAGAATGATTTTAATATTTTTTTTACCACTTACCTATTAACCAATTACCTTGTCTGAGATTAATACACATTGGATGACCTAAATCATTATTAGGACGAATATCCGCTAATAAGGAAATAATACCTAGAAAAAAAAATTTATAAATATATATATATATAATAATTTATATTATTAATTTACCTTGCAATCCTGCATAAACAAGTGGACCATAACCTGGAATATTATATACATCAAATCTGTTTGAAGTTTCGTCGCGTTCTTCCTGATCACATCGATATAAAGCCTTATTTAAATCTATCAAATCCATACGTGAAGCAATAACGCGTATGTCCGAACTTTTTTGTGATGTGATTATTGAAATAGTATTATGGAGTTTTGCAAGAGCTGGTTTTATATTAGCATGAAGAGATACACTAAAATATATTAATATCCATATATGATATATAAAATTTAGGAATAAATATTATAAAAAAGAAATGTATAATTAAATATTACCGAATAGCAATAACAGAACCTGGTTGAAAATTTACAAAATTAAGTTGAGTTATTTTAGGATCACCTGAATCAACTTTTTCCAAAATTTCTGAATCACAAATTTGTATATGTTCTTTAAGATTTACAATATATTCTGAGAGACCATTTATATAATTTTCATCTCGTACATATTTTTCAGAATAATGGAAAGGTGAGATATCATTTCTAAAATGTAAATATTTCTATAAAATATAAATATGTAAAATAAATGTATAAATAATATTGCTGATTTAATTTCTTACTTTGCTTCTATATGACATAAGGATGCCTCCAAAATAATTTCTTCCATTACACCTTCCACTCGTAATGGTTTCACATGTCTTCTCAAATCATTAGCATTAGGATCAGGATGTTTAAAAGCAGTAAAAGCAATTAAAATTACACTATCATGAGTTGTTGGAGAGTGTCTTGTTACAGCTACTATGTCATTATCCATTTGATCAACAAATACCTGTAATTTAATAATTAATACTTGAGAAATATTAAACTAATACTTTTTATATACATTATGAATTATAATAATATACTTGAGAAAACTTCTGTTGTCCAAGAATATAATGCAAATCATTTAATGCTTTCTTTGCAGCAATTATACCAGTTTTAAAACCTACAAATTTGATACCATCTATTAAACATTCATCATCTGTCCAAAATGAATATTGTCTTGTTTCATCTACAACATGTATCTGTAAGAATTGATAAAAATTAATAAATATTTCTTTTTTTAATATTATTAATAATTTTCTTTATATTATTATAATTTTATAAAATTATAAAAATAATTATATAAATATAATCATATAAAATTAAATTACATGATGAGGAACTAATTCATCATATCCACGATTACTACCACTAGCACATGCTGCCATTGATACAAGAGCAGCACTTGGAAGTAAATCAAACACGCTACGTTTTTCCACAGTGCTAGGATTATCATGAGTTAAATCTAAAAAAAGGGCATGTGCTATGCTTGGTACTAAAGGCCGTTTACGTGATTGCAAAAATGCACCGACTGGTTCACCTCCATATCGATATACCAATCGACCTTCTTCATGGCTATCCCATGCAGACATAGCTTCTATTTTAAAAAAAAATAGTATTTAATAATATTTTTTATTTTAATAATAATTATATTATATATTAATATTTTAGAATTAATTATATATTAATAATATATTTTATAACTTAAAATAAATATACATATCTTGAATTAAAAAAATAATAACGAAATTCAACAAATTCAACAAATAATTATAATTCTATAACTTAAAATAAAAATATATACCTCGAATTAAAGAAGTGATACCAAGACGATTAACAAATATATTGTCTTTTTGATCTGAATTTGTAAATAATTCTGCAACAACGTACAAATCTGGACGGATTCGACGAGCAACATCAAGCATATACTGTACATTAAATATAAAATATTCAAAATTTATTAATAAAAACATAAATTTATATAGCATTTTAAAAAGTTAAATATACCTCTGCAACTGGAATAGGAGTTGAATGACAATTGTCTAATCGAATACCATCAAAAATTTTAGCTGTTTGTTCAACATATGTACTAATATGCTGCCATAGAAAAGGACAATCTTCCGGTTTATCTCCATATCTACAACAAATTCAATATATTAATGATTTAAATTATTTTATAATTTTTTACTAATATTTCAAAAACAATTGCAGTACCTCAATTTTACACTATCACCCCAAGCAATAAGTTCTCTTCTTATATAAACATTAGAATCAGAATCTGCAAAATTTTTTAAAGGATCACCATTCATTACCCATCCATTAT